GATAGATAGATAGATAGATAGATAGATAGATAGATAGATAGATAGATAGATAGATAGATAGATAGATAGATAAGAGAGAGACAGAGACAGAAAGGCATTAAAAAAATCAAATGTTCAAAATACTCAATTAGAACTATTTGGGGCATATATTGTATTTAGGGTGGAGAATGCTAGCAATTTTCTTTTTGTGAAGAAATAGGTCAGTTTCAAACTACAAGTTTAGAATTACTATATCTGGATAATGGTGGGAGATGCTAGTGATTGGTAGAAAAAACAAGGGATGCACCCTATGGAATCCCAAAAGATACTGGTTACTGAAGGACAGTAAACAAGCATTATTTTTGCTGATAATTCCCTGTGTTCACCTCCTAACTGGCAAGATCTAGATTCATAAGGATTGGTTGAGCTCATAAGATCATGGTATCCAAACAGGATTTTTAACAGATTTTTTTTTAAAGGTTGGTAGGACAACCTGACACATATAGCCAGCAAATTTGACTCCTCTATGCATTGATATTACCTAGCCCAGTAATGAAACATCTGCAGGAAGAGAAGTGAGAGAACCCAACAACTCAGCCCTGAGCTACATCTATTACCCAGTGTAAAGCTTTAAATAGCACAGAGCAGTTTGGGCTATGTTTTACACTGGGTTGAGATTGGCTTGTTGAAGAGGTCTTGAAGACAAAATAGAACAATATGAGCTATCATAGCAACCATGGACTTCTTCACCAAAAGAATCTTCCAAGTCAAGGAACTGAATCATGAAAAACAAGCAAATTTCTGTGCCATTGACAGTGCGTCCCAATGCCTTCTCCCAATTTGTTTACAAACCATTTCATCTTGTTTCATGAAGGTCTCAGAAAGCAAGAGCTTGGTCTACAGCTTCAAGAAGGGAAAACGGGCTGACCGCACCACTCTTGGAACAACTATAAATATCCTTTGTGGTGATATCCCTATCTACTGGGCTGAGGTAAAACACTTACTTACCTTCGAATGCTGTACTTGCTGGAAATGACTGTCTAATAAGTTTATAATTGATTGGTGAAATAAGACTTCCATACTTGGGATAAAAGGGGAGAGACACCTTGATGCTTTATAATCCAAAATCATCTTTTCCCTATTTGTGTGAAGAATGGAGGGACAAGACAGCCACATTGTGAAATTAGACCAGGATTCCTCAGCTTTGAGCCCTCCAGATCATAGCGTATACGCAGTTGTCCTTCACCCAAGTCTGATGAAAGTTGCCATAGCAACCAGTATCTTCCATGCCACACCTGCGCAAATAGTACCTCATCCATCACATTAGCAACAGGTAGCAGCAGAGTGTTCTGTTCAGTCCTTCCAGGGGAAGATAAACTTATCCTAATCCTGTGAGGGAAAGGATACCTATTTCACCCTTTCTGACAATCCCCACCACCATAGTGAATTACACATACAGGTAGTCCTTGACTTACGACCACAAATGAGCCCAAAATTCAATTTGTTAATTGAGTTTTTCCCCATTTTACAACCTTTCCTGCCACAATTCTTAAGTGAATCACTTTAGTTGTTAAGTTAGTAACACGGTTGTTAAGTGAATCTGGCTTCCCTATAGACTTTGCTTGTCAGAAGGTCACAAAAGATGATCACGTGATCCTGGGACACTGCAAGCATCATAAATATGAACCAAATGCTAAGCATCTGAATTTTGATCACGTGACCATGGGGATGTTGCAACGGTTGTGTTAAAAATGGTCATAAATCACTTTTCTTCAGTGCCATTGTAACTTCGAACCATCACTAAACGAACTGTTGTACGTTGAGTTGTACCTGTATGCTTACTAGGCTTCAGATGAGGAACTTTGCAAGTAAGGGTTTCTCTGTCCCTCCTTCTGTATTTTTATTAGTCTGCGATATGGACAATATCTCTTCTGGGCATATTGGGCTCAGAAGATACCCAGTTTATTATTTCTCTGATTTTCAACCTTTATACTGTTGATTAAATTTGAAGGGGTGGGTGGGAATTGAACCCAATGAATACAGTAAAAGGATCGGGCCAGTGGAGGTGCTTTTAACTCTTTCAGTGCTGTATTGCCATTAGTTTGAGCGTCTCACTTCTAGTCTATCAGCACTCTCTAGTTCAGTGGTGGCGAACCTATGGCACGGGTGCCAGAGGTGGCACTCAGAGCCCTCTCTGTGGGCACCCGCATTGTCGCCCCAGTCCTAGGCCTTCAGTTGGGTTTTATAAAAGCTTTTCGCTTTAGGCCTCCGCCGCCGTGTGCAAAAAAAAAAAAGGTTCAATCAATCAGTTCAATTTCAACTTCTGGGGAAAAAAAAAGATCTTGCAAAGTTGGAATTGACTGATTGAACTTTTTAGTCCCATCCAGTCTGCCGTTACCACTGCAGCCATGCCCACCCAATTGGCCACACCCAGCCAATGGGCCACACCCACTTGGCACTCGACGATGCATAAGTGGGTTTTGGGTTGCAGTTTGGGCACTCGGTCTCTAAAAGGTTCGCCATCACTGCTCTAGTTCTACTTGATGCTTCCCTTCCTGTAGAGTTGTCTTCTATGGATTCATGCAGTTCTGAGGAGGTTGCACTTGAGGAAAGACACACAATCTTAGAGAAAGGCACTTCTTTGTTCCAGTAATTATTTTCTTCTTTTGCAGAAGCAACAGAAGGAGCAGCGAAGCTTCCATTGCTTCATTTGGTTTTTAAACCTTTGCTTCAATATACTTTAAACCCGCTCATACTTCCATGTGTCTCTACCTTGGCCATTCCCTATACGTAAAAGTCCACAATTCTTGGTATCATACTAACTCCCAAACACAATACTGCCAGAAGAACAGGTGCAACTTTGTCATTCAGTCATTCCTCTCCACTGATATTAATTTCCTCACCGAAAAAAAACAGTCCAGTTGCCTTTTGAAGAAGCACCCTTGAGACTACTGACATTAACAATGATCTGGTGGATTTCATTCCTAAAGATGGTAAATAAAGGACAGTCCTGAGGTCCACACAAATGCTTTGTCTATTTTATCACCTGGTTGAGCAAACGGGTCAATCTCAGCATGGGGAGGGGGCAGGTGGCATGACTAGTTGTAGGAATGATGTGACTTCCAGCCCAGCATCTGGAGGCACACACATCATCTTGCCAGATGCAATGGATACAGATTCTAACACCTTCAACTAGCACAACCATGATAGTCAAGTGCATTTGAAGCATTCTAGGGAAAAGAAACAACACGGGCAATCTTTGTGCTGCCCATCAACATCATAAACCCCACCTATAAGTATGCATCGTGCTAAAACCTAAATAAAAGACACCTATAACCCACTAAAACACACATCACACTAAAAACTAAGTAAGGCATAATGTTGAGAGTTAGATGTAACGCTATGCTGCAAACCGCGATGTACAACAGTGTTTCTCAACTTCAGCAACTTTAAGATAGAGGAACTTCAACTACCAGAATTCCCTAGCCAGCACTGCTGGGAAATTCTGGGGAATTTCTGAGCTGGGGAATTCTGGGCGTTGAAGTCCACCCATCTTAAAGTTGCTGAAACCCTGGTCTACAATAACAAGAGCTTATCTCATATACACGATATATACCTCCCGCCTGGACTACTGTAATGCTCTCTACATGGGGCTTCCCTTGAGGAGCACCCGGAGGCTCCAGCTAGTCCAAAATGCGGCCGCGCGGGCGGTGTTGGGAGGGACTCGTCGCTCCCACGTAACACCGCTGCTGCGTGAGCTGCATTGGCTGCCGGTGGCCTTCCGGGTGCGCTTCAAGGTGCTGACTATCATCTNGGACTGGCCTAGGGCAATTTTTAAGAGGGGTTTTTAGAGGGGTTTTTAATCATATTTTAATCAGACAATTTAAATATTTCATTTTAATTAATTTTAATTTTGTAATTGTTATTGGTGTTTTTAATCGATTGTCAGCCGCCCTGAGTCCGCAAGGAGAAGGGCGGGATATAAATTCGAATAATAAATAAATAAATAAATATATATATATACTAGCACGAGAAAACATGGTTGCAATGCTAAACGTTACAGCTTAGCAGAAGAAAGAATGACTTCTGAGCAACCTTTCCGATTTTCCAATTTAATTGTAAGGAGAGGGAGACGGAGGGGGGAAGGGGGAGGAGGGAGGAGGAGGAGAAGAAGAAGAAGAAGAAGAAGAAGAAGAAGAAGAAGAAGAAGAAGAAGAAGAAGAAGAAGAAAAGATGGAAGAAGGAAGAAGGAAGAAAAAAGAAAGAAGAATCACTTTGTTACGAAACCCGGAATCTCTAATTCCCCCACTTTCTCCTCTCTAACTCTCTATAGTTTGGTATCCATGGAAGCGAGGAAAGAGAATACATGGGAAGAGAGAGAGAGATAGGCGAGAGCGAGCGGGAGACGCTCTAGGAACCAGATTGTTGCGGTGGGCGGAAGGAGATGCCGCTCCTTCCGGCGCCGGCTATTCTCCTTTCCCGCCTTGAGGTAAGCGGGTTTGGCGCCGCCCGCGCGCGGAGGCGTTGACCGGGCAGGAGGCCGGGACCCTGGACCGGGCTGGGGAGGGTGGGCGAGGGCAGGAGGGTCGGGGGGGCTGCGTCTCGACCCTCCTGCCCGCCTGCTGGGCGCCCCGGCTGCGACTGAATGGCCGCCCTCGCCCCTCCGCCTGCTTGGAAGGGAGAGCAGCTGCTCCCGAGTCTCCCCTCAGTGCAGTCGGCTGTGTGTGTGTGGTGGGGGGGGAAAGAGGGGGCGGAAGGGGCAAAAGAGCCTCTTTCGTTTATTTATTCTCTCCCCCTCCCTCCCCCATCGTTTTCCCCGCTTTGCAGCGCTTGCAAAGGGGCTCCCGGGGACACTCCAGGACTGGAAAACGGTTTACTAAGCTGGAAACCATGGCTTTCAGACAACCCCCCCCCCCCCAAATATGAAGATTTCCCCAGGACTCCGAAGCCAAAGTGAAAGGAATCCCTTTATGGTTTATAAAGCACAGGGACGGGGCGATTCATTCTCCCGAAGGGCCGCATGAGAAACTGGGACGGTTGTGGAGGGCTGAACCGAATTCTGTTCGGTTTTAACCCGTTTTATTTATTTATATATATAAATAAATATATAGGTCTTTAGTTCTTCGGGTTTTCTCCCGCGTAGAATTGGAAGTGTCTTGGCGACGTTTCGACGAAGTCACATCCGTCGTCTTCAGGCTGGTGTCTTCAGCTTCGTGCTTCTGGGAGTAGTGTGTGCGATCGCAGCTGTTTCTTCCTTTTCACTGCCAGTGGGGTTTGAGCTGATTGGGTGGGAGCTTGGCTCAAACCCCACTGGCAGTGAAAAGGAAGAAACAGCTGCGATCGCGCACACTACTCCCAGAAGCACGAAGCTGAAGACACCAGCCTGAAGATGATGGATGTGACTTCATCGAAACGTCGCCAAGACACTTCTAATTCTACGCGGGAGAAAACCCGAAGAACTAAAGACCTACATACAAACACCCGCGAAAACCTCAGAAAACAAATAAATATATGTATATGTATGTATGTCTGAAATAGTCTTAAAAATATGAGTCTCGGATATATTCATGTTCAAAATCAGAAGACATAGATCACCAAGACTAAAAATTTATTTAAAACTCAGTGTTAAATAAATTTTTAGTCTTGGTGATCTATGTCTTCTGATTTTGAATACATGTATGTATGTGTATATAATATATGTATGTAATTAATGATATCCGTGAAAATGTGACTCCTGGGCATAATTGTAGGCAAAATAATACACGACCACCAGGAGGATTTAAGTAAGAAAAATATACTTTACTAAAATTGCCAAGACGCGGTCTAGGAGCCGGGTGCAAATGTCAGCCAAACCTATTTAAGTCATCGTTGTAGACTGGCCTTTTAGCCCTGATGATGTTGGGAGTTCCCAACGAAAGCTTGGCAATTTTAGTAAAGTATATTTTTCTTACTTAAATCCTCCTGGTGGTCGTGTATTATTTTGCCTGCATGTATGTATGTGTATATAATATATGTGTGTGTGTGTGTATGTATGTATATATTTTAAAAACCTAATAAATTATATGGTTTTGATTAGCTGCTACTGGTAAGAATACATGTTACGTCTTATTTGCATTTGATTTCTAATCACAGACCAGACAAGGACAGCCAAAGGGGCCACCAGATGTGACTCCTCAAATGGCCGTGTCTGGTTTAGCACAATCTGTGAATGGAGTGTAATCTAACTGATTTCTCTTAATAATAATAGGACATGTTGGGATATTTTCTTGGGATGTAAGTAGAGAGGACAGATGACAACTCTGGCTCAAAAGGGTCATTGCAGAAAATGGCAGATTAGGGAAAAACAAGACAATGTTTTGATTATTGGTCCTGAAAATGCAGAAGACATCCTATGATGGAGTTAAAAAACAGCAACAAAAAGAAACCCCTACAGTGTTAATACATACACTATGGGAGCATGTCAATTTGGGTGTATTTGGGGTGGTGTGTGTGAATGGGGTATCTTTTTGAAGTAGGTGGTTTTCCTGAACTAATAGATGGTTTTTTTCTAATCAGGAAGTATGGAGATTTTGTAATGGCAGACTATTTGTCAGCATGAATCAGGGTTGAAACCAGATAGTTCCTGCATCTCAAAAATTCTTTCTCTTCCTGCTTTTCGTCTCAGCAGATCATGTTTGGCAACTAACTTACTTCCCAGAAGTGTGGGGGTTGGACGGAATATATTGTTGATTCAGTGTAAAAGTATGAACTAGAAAATAAGAGTTCAGAGTTCAGCTGGGTTATAAATGCCTTGGATTTAAATCCTTCACACGGGAATAGATTGTCCTGGACTCCAGAGTGACTTCTTTGGGGGATGAGCTGTATGTGGAGCAGAATGGGTGATTAAGACTTTCTATTATTAGCCTTACAGCCAGTCTCTGATCTGTAACTTAAGGACAGTAAAACTGACTTATACTGCGGTTGCGGTTTGACCAGCACGCGAAACCAAGAGGTGTGGCGGGTGAGCCATATTTTTCTTTACATTGCTCATTGCTGTTTTATCAATCTCTGCAGTTTGCCATTTTATGGGACTTGGGATTGATCAGTATTTTGACTTTCTGAGTATGAGTTGTGATTTCTGGAAATTCTGCATTATGTTCTACAAATCATGGTTAAATATCAATAAAGAACGGAGACTATGCATGCTTGTTTACTTGGCTTTTTGATTTAGCCTGCCATCTAAACACTGCACAGTAGCCTTCCCATTTTGTGTCTCTGTGTTTGTCTTCAAATTGTTCTTGACTCCTGACAGTTGCCTAGAAATGTCCCTGCAGATTTCTCTGCAAGATTTTCAGAAGCGATCTGCCATTGTCTTTTTCCTTTATACCACCTCCTGGGCCCCGGTCCACTGGTAAACAGTGGGCCAGCACGCATGTGCATGCACAGCTCACACCAGCAGGGGTGTGTGTGTGTGTGTGTGTATGTATGCGCAGCTCCACTTGCGCGAATGATAGGCTGGTGCACATATCTCCACTCACGCAAGCTGTGAGCTGGCGTGCACTTTTCTTGTTAGTCTTCAAATTTGATTCTTTTCTTGAGATACTTGGAGTCACATAAGAACAAGGTAGCACTGCTTTGACCCTTGATCAGCAGGTGAAGTCATTAGAAATAACGGATTTATATTTGAGTTCACAATCTTGGCAAATCTGGTCAGTGTCCATATTAAAAGCTTACGGATCTTCTCTTGCTTGGAGAACATAATTTCCTGATATAAAACTTCTTTCATACTAGAAACTGGATGGCTTCTAATGCGAAGCTCAAGCTGGACAGAGGAGTTCTGCTGGAGGATGGCATGCCAGCTGCAAAGAAGCCTAGGTAGGTGGGATACTTTCAAATGCATCTCTATAGCTCCTGAATTGGGAGTGAAGATAAACTTTGGCCCCTTCTCTGGCATGTGTGGGAATATATTCTTCAAAAAACAGTTTTCCAGACTGAAATTCCGCACCTAAAAACCCCTCATTCCAGCAAGCTATTCTACTATTTCCATTTTCATTTCACTCAGGAATACTTCTTTTAGGTCAGCTTCTATTTTTCCTCTGCTTTTGGTTTAGTGTAGCTAACCTTGCAAATATAACAACCAGAATTGTTAGACTAAGGTTCTGTCACTGCTATCCTCAATAGAACTGCAAACATTCTGTCTGTTTGCCTGTCATTAGTTCACAATATAACCTACTTCATGGTACTCTTAGAAAGATGAAGGGGGAGGGGGGGATCAAGTACCTGAGATCCTAGGAGAAAAGGCAATAGAGAAATGTGATCATTAATTATGCTCATATCTTCCCTTCTGTCCTCTGGCTGTAGGAAACTCCTGCCAAGTCTAAAATGCAAAAAGCCCCAGGATCTAGTCTTGGTGATTGGAACAGGCATCAGTGCAGCAGTGGCTCCTCAGGTGCCAGCCTTGAAGTCTTGGAAGGGCTTAATCCAGGCCCTGCTGGACGCTGCAATTGACTTTGACCTTCTGGAAGAGGAGGAGAGGAGAAAATTTCAGAAGTGTCTCGAGGACAATAAAAACCTCATCCACGTTGCTCACGATCTGATCCAGAAACTGTCTCCCGTGAGTTGAGGCACCCAGAAGGGATTCTTTTGCAGGCTTGAAATAAAATACATGCTTAAAATGGGTGAGCTACAGAAGGCCCACTAAGGATGGATGGGCCGATGGCTCTGAAAAAAAATCCAGCTGCCCAATTGAATGTCATTGGCAGCAATGCTTTTTGTTGAAGCCAGAAGCCCAGTTCATCTGCTTACTTCCAGTAAGGCTAATGGTCCTGTTTTGAATTCCATCCTCAAAGAAGCATAATGGCTGTGCCCCCTCTAATAGTATCACTGTGACACATTCCTCTGGTCATGGTCTTAGACAAGTAACGTTAAAATGTGCATCCATAGAAGATCCCCTTATTTTTAAAAGAGCTAAAGTTGGATGGAGAGAAGAAGCTGGGCGCCCAAGCTAATTTGATAGTGGTAACCTATGTCAGATTAAGGTAGGGAGTCTGGTGATACATGTCACCTTTTTCTTACTCGACACCCTTCTTGTGTGTCCTCTCAATTCCAGTCACCACATTAGTTAGGATGATGAGAGTTGGAGTTCAGCACATCTGAGAGGCTACACCACTTGGGGCAGGTGGCATGAGATTCTGATCTTGGTGTGTCTTGTTTCCTTTGCAGCGCACGAGCAATGTCCGTTCTTCATTCTTCAAAGACTGCTTGTATGAGGTCTTTGATGACCTGGAGTCCAAGATGGAAGACACGGGGAAGCAACTCCTGAGGTCAGTGCTCCATCTGATGGAGGACGGTGCCCTTGTTCTGACCACCAATTTTGATGATCTGCTGGAAATTTATGCAGCTGATCAAGGGAAACATCTTGAATCTCTTGACCTCACCGATGAGAAAAAGGTAAAGGTGTCCCTCTTCCTGTCCTAAGAGGAGTCACATCTTGTGGAGCAGTCTCCCATGAAAAAGTTTAATTAATAAGCCCAAAGTGGTAGATTTTGGAAACTGCACTAAGCCAAAAGCAAATAAACCAAATTGTGGCTTAGCTTGATACATGAACACTGTCAAAATACATATTGCTTGCTTTGGTTCTCTCCCCCATAATGAAATTCCAAATGAAAACTTTGCCCTAGAGAATCTATAAACTACTCTTGATAGCTGAAGACCAAAATGTTGTATATTTGTATCAATAATAGATGTTCAGTACTACACAATAATTGCGTTCATTGAATAGGTCCTTGAGTGGGCACAGGAGAAGAGGAAGATGAGTGTCCTTCATATCCATGGAGTCTACACTAATCCCAGTGGAATAGTGCTTCATCCAGCAGGTTACCAGAACGTCCTACGCAACGTAGAAGTTATGGTGAGATTGGCAGGTTCCTTTTAACTGCTACTGACTTTTCAGTGAAGATTGTTTTTGGTTTTTGATTCTTGAGTTTATAAACATTTAGAAATAGGCATAGTGTTGGAGCTGCACATTTGAAATTGGAAAGGAAGAGGCAGACAATATATATATAGATTTCTAAGGAGTCCATCTCATCCCCAATCCTGCTCATCTTCAGCCTGCCATACTAGGCTGGAAATATCTCCCAAACATACGGAGTTCCTATCCCATATCAGCCTGCAGAGAATCAACACTTTGAATCTTGGGTTGTTGTTTTTTTAATTCTCTGCCCATTGAATTAATCAGACAGGCTGGAAATAGGGGGGGGGGGGGCGAAACAGATTTGGCCAAACCAAGTCACAGTTCCTGTGCTTATCTGCAGGGTTGATTCTGACTTGTTCTTGGCTTGCTTAAGACATGAATGGTTAAAATAATTGTGGCTTAACTTTCTCTGTAGACTTTTCAGTTCATATTTGTCTCTGGTCTGATCTCCAAAACAGGTACTGGTTGAGATTTAAAAATAGCTCCACCTTTAGGAGGGAATGGGAACTAATCCTTAGAACAGTGGTGGCGAACCTATGGCACGGGTGCCAGAGGCGGCACTCAGAGCCTTCTCTGTGGGCACGCAGGCCGTCGCCCCAGTCCTAGGCCTTCAGCTGGGTTTTATAAAACCTTTTCGCTTTAGGCCTCCGCCGCCATGTGCAAAAAAAAAAAAGGTTCAATCAATCAGTCAATTTCAACTTCTCGCGGGGGAAAAAAAGATCTTGCAAAGTTGGAATTGATTGATTGAACTTTTTAGTCCGTTACCACCGCAGCCACGCCCACCCAATGGGCCACACCCACCCGGCACCCGATGATGCATTAGTGGGTTTTGGGTTGCAGTTTGGGCATTCAGTCTCTAAAAGGCTCGCCATCACTGCCTTAGAATCTTCTCAGTACCTTGCAGGGGGGCTTTTTCCTGGTGCTGGCTCTTTAATATTGAATCATAATACAGTTTGTATGGGTATTTGCAACAGCCTTCAAGCAGATGCTTTTACTGGAATTATCTGAGGGAGCTGACTTTATACTCTTTTATAATCGTAACTTTTCCCTTTTTTATGAAGATAGAAACATTGTGTTGTTGTTTTTTTGTTTGCTTCTTTGTGTGCTTTGTCCTTTAAAGCGGGAGATCCAGAAGTTGTACGAAGCCAAATCTTTCCTGTTCTTAGGCTGTGGTTGGACTGTGGATGATACAACTTTCCAAGCCCTCTTCCTTGAAGCTGTGAAACACAAGTCAGATCTGGAGCATTTTATGCTTGTGCGTCGTGGAGATGTGGACGAATTTAAGAAGCTGCGAGAGAACATGCTTGACAAAGGGATTAAGGTCATCTCCTACGGGGAGGAATACTCAGACTTGCCTGAATATTTTGAGAGGCTGGCAAATGAGATCTCCAACTGGAATCACGCGGGTAAGAAAAACAAGTCTTTTAATAATGTTTTTTAAAAATATATTAGAGTTTTTCAACTTTGTATGCTGCCCAGAGTCAATTTTTTACGAGATGGGCAACTGTACAAATTTGATAGATAAATAAATAAAAATAAATACATTTTCCAATGTATAAGTTTAATGGTGTATCCAGAAATCCCAAAGAAACAGGATTTATTTTAGTGATTTACCAAATTTAGAATCTGCCCACCTCACTTTCAAAGTGATGCTCACTTTCAAAGTGATGTGACAGAAGGGGATAAAAATTTATAGAGTGTAGTAGTAACTGTGTTCTAAACATTTAAATACAATGTAGGTTAAAATGTACAACAATCAATATAAATTACATACACAATTTAATCTGGTTCAGATTGTATTGGACCTACCTGCTTTTTAGAAGTTTAGACTCTGAGGTTTTCTAAGTAGAGATTTAGTTTAGGTGCTAAAATGCTTCTGGATTTCTTTCATACATCCTTTCGCCTCCTACTCTATTTAAGATAACTTGTTTTTTCCCCCCTCCTCCCAGGTCCACGACAGGGGGAACAACTGAATGGCACAGATACTGTGCGTATTGAAAACAAAGGTACAGAACTTACTTAACATTCAGAATTCCTTGCTGTTAGCTGGGAAGATGAATCTTGCTAACCAGCAGGTACCACTCACACTAAAATTGTCTTTTTATGTGTGGTAGAAGCTTAGGACTAAACATAGCAGAAAGTATCATACAGGGGATGGAAGATGCCCTGGGAAGAATGGCAGTGGATGCTTCCCTGATTCAAAACTCCCAATAAGCCAGATTAAGATGTTTTTTGTGATGATTCTGTGTTAGCAGAGACATGAAGAAAAGCAATAAATCCAATGGTTCTTCCTGCCACCGAAGAACTAATTTAAAAACCTTTGTTTCTTAGGGAGGAATATTTGTTAAAAAGGGAACTGCCATGTTTTACAGGACATCTTAGCCTAAGTAAGAACTCTCTAAAACCTGGTTTGGTCAGGTGAAACAGATTGTGTGCTTCCCGTGTGTAGAGTAACTAGGGCAATATCCAGGTATTTGGCAATTCATTTGCCAGAGGTTGGACCCAACTGGATGAGGCTTACAGGACACATTGATATTGTTCCTGATTAATTAATGCAGCAAACACTCCTGATCCTGATCATTTAATAGATCCTGATGCTGAGGAACAGGAAGCACATTTCACAATACGTTTTCCCACTTCTGTTCATTGCAAGGTCCCCTTGTGAAAAAAGTACCTAGCCTGTTTCAGCATCGAGAATCCTTGGGCGAGAGGTATCATTTCTGCTTAGAGAAGTGATATGATGCATGGAAAATCTGTTATTTCATTGGTAGACTGGTCCTCTCACCCTCCCTCTTACAAGAGGGAGTTTCTCAAAACTGCCATTAAGTTACCACTCCGTAAACTTGGTGTTCTACAAGAGTATGTATGGTTGAGATAATACGGTGGTAAACTTGAACCTGTGTCTTTTCAGTCTTCTGGGAGCTAGAAATTAATCATGTCAGCCATTTTGTGTGGTTTCCAGCCAGCCTTTTTTTATAAGATTCTCCGTATTCTTAAGATATCTCCCTTCAGTAAGGACAGACAACAACTGAAGATACTCAGGGAGTAACTGACAATGCTCGGCATATTGTCAGAGCAAGTGACATGCAGGTCCTGTAGTTACATGTCTGTATGGCTGGCTGAGGAATTCTGGGAATTGAAGTCCACACAACTTAACGTTGCTGAGGTTGAGAAACGCTGCTGTAGATTAAGGCATTATATTGGAAATTCCTTCCAAGAGAGATTTTCCCAGAGATGAAGACATGTTTATTCATTGTGATCTCGTTTTCTATTTAGGGTTTGTGTCAATAAAAAAAAATCAATCTCTTCAAAACTGAATTTATTACTTCTACTTTGATATTCTGTAAAAATTTAGACTGAGTCACGTGAACATTTTTTTAAAAAAGTGAAACTCTAATTTTCTAAATCTTTTATACTGTACAAATTTGAAGCTGGGATTTTTAAAAAGTTCACCTGTCTCCGTTTTACGTGAGCTTTATGTAAATTATTGCTAATAATGATGTTGATCAGCATAATATGCATACAGTACTTTTGGTTGACTAACTCATGGTTTACATAGCTACCCAATTCTGGGTTGGCGCAATACAGTTTACTAAAATAATAAGACTAATTTGTGGCTTACCTGTTCGATGTACAGTTAAATGCCGGTTTGAAGCTAGCTTAGCTAGACTTATTTAACTATATTTTGTCTGCTTTCATATATTACTAAGTTGTGATTTTTAAAGCTATTGTTTACTGATCGATCTTATCTGGTGGTTTGTATATGACACTAAGCCAAAAAAAATAAATCACATGAAGGGTTAATGCTTGTGTGTTAATTTGGTCTTTAATGGACAAAGTGGCATAACTGTGGATACACAAGACTTTTCAGATTTTTGTTTCAACCTGTCCAGTGGGCAGGTGGACGGGCGGGGAATGTATTCTTTACATTCAGATCAAACTACGGGCTTAACAGCAACAGCTTCCTATAAGCTCCGCTGCTGGTAAAGCTGGAGGCCCTCCTAAAATCCCACAGGTGGGCCCAGCGAGAATACAAGAACAGAAAATGAGCAAGCTGCACCCCCAGAAAACCTGTTGATCCCACTTGATCTTAGAGAAGACGGCTTTTCAAATCCAGGAAGACAAAGGAAAGGTTTTAGAAATTTTATTATATAAATCTTCAGCAGGCAGCATTCAACTTATTGCACTAGAGCACATCTGCAATGCTGAGCTACCAAGGCGTCTTTGTAGAGACATTGGTGTTATTCAACATAGCACTTTATATCAGGATCAAGAGGCACTCTGAAAGGAGAGGGAAAGGGAGGAATGCAGCAGGCAGCCACCAGGACCATCCCTGGTGAAGGAAGGGGAGAAAGAAGCAGACTGGTTGGTTTGGAAAACAAAAGCCAGTTGCAGATAGGATAGCATGCAGTGGCTCCTGCTGGCTGGTTGTGTATCCTTCCCCCTTGACAGGGGAGAGAGAAATCATGAAACCCTCTCCTGAAGCCAGAAGCTCATCTGCCAAAATTAAAATCCATACAAAGACTTGTTTTTCCCTTTAGGGGAAGGACCCTGTTGGCCGGAGAAGGGGCCAGATAAAGAAAGTGTCCTTAGAGAACCGTCAGGCACACAACCATCTGCTTCTCTGGTGTGGATTGAAGATCGTGTGCAAAGATTCAGACACGCTTAATGCATAAGGGGTTCATTCATACTTCCTCCTCCGAGAACAGATTTACCTTTCCACTTTGTTGTGGTTCTTTTGCTCTGCAGTTGGGGAACTGCTGTGATCAAAGCCAGCTTATGAAGCCTACAGCATTAGCAGACTCTATCTCTGCTCCACATAATAATCAGGGACGGCTGATTTAGCGGCTAGGAAACAGTCATTTGTTCCGGCGTCATCCCTTTGGTTTCTCATCCCCAGAAATGTCCTCCAGGGTGGCTGCTTAGGCCCAAGGCTGAATCTGAGGTATGTCAGCCAAGCCCAAGGACTGGAGCACAACTCTCTTCCTCCATTCTTGTGACACCACTAACCCAGGATGAGCTAGAGAAAACGACAGAGGGATGGAGGGAGAAAAAAGAAGGAAAAGAAAGAGAAGGAAAGAAAGAAAGAAAAAGAGGCTGGAAGGAAGGCTTACTGGACGAGCGAGTACGGAGCAAAGAGGTATTCTAGAGGAGGTGTTTTGAGAAAGACTTCTCTCAAAGAACTTTAGAGCAGGACAAAGTCATTTTAAATAAGTGGAACACAACTGAAGACAGATAGCTTTCTCTAAAATTAAATCCCATGCACTGCAGGGAGGAAACTGTGCAATATATAATGAAATGAGGACAGTGGCTTTATTTGTTTTTTCCTAGCGCTCCTCTATGCTCTGTTGCACTATGCCAAAAAAAAAAAAAAGACAAAAGACAAAAGAAAGCAAAGGATGAAGGGATGGGGTGGGGAGGTGGGGCAAGATTCCAGGAAAAGTCACATTGGAAAGCACATTCCAAAGACATCGGCAAACAGGATTTTGGTGCAATGATGGATGCTTAGGCCTTCATAAGAGCAGCAACTACAGCCTTGGCATTAAGGCTACGTAGGTCACAGTAAGTCTGTCCAGTTCCCACAAAGACAATCGGTTTGCTAGTGATGTATGTCATGGAGATTGCGGCACCAACCTGGGGAGGAAAACAAACAGCACACGTGTTGCGGGCCTTCAAGGGACCAAGCAAATCGGGATAAACCCAAGAAGTTATTTTAAGCCAAGGACCTTACATATCCCCGAGGGAATAATTGCAAAGGAATCAATTCCTTGGTTGCCATAATTAATGTATAAAGCAAACTAAACAGTATGGGGTTTTTTATTTATTTTTTTGCAGCCAGAAATGCAGTCCTTTTGTTTTGTTCAGGCAAGCAGTGGCCATCGTATCAGGCAACTGAGGCTTGGAGCTTCTTGCAATTCTTTAATTTCTGTGCCTTCCACAAAAATTGCCTAGAGGCTGCCAAGCTGGTCTAAGACACGTCCCAGCCTAAACATATCAAAGGTGCTGCCTGCCTCAAGCAAGGAATTCAAATGACCCAGTATTTACCTTGTCATCAATGGTATCAAACTTGGTGAGAACAATTCCATCAATGAGACGTGGGGATTGAGCTATGGAGTAATCCGCAAGAGCTTTGTTAAATTTGACCTGGAGGAGCGGTGGAAGAAAAAAAGGAAATGGGTTTGGAAAAATCTGCACAGAAGTACACTTTTGTCCTTTGTTCACATGATGTTCACATTATATGTTGTGAAACCTTCAGTGTTCCACACAAGTGATCTACAGCCCAATTCCTCAGTGTAACACACTGCATGATAACCACCATTCAAAGGAGATGAATTAGATGCTTTGAGTTTGTAGCTAGGTTCAAATCCATTATCAGCATCTCCTTCACTCCTTTTTGGGGAGTTTCGGTAAAGGTGTGTGAAGCCTCATTCAAGGGTTCTTTTGCTTAAAAAAAACACACACACCAGAAAGTTACCAAATGACGGAAGAAGCACAATCCTCAATGACTTCCAAGGTCATAGAAAAGTCACCTGGGAGTTAAGTATTTGCAAGTTGCCCATCTCTGGTTTATGGCTTGGATATTATAATTAACTTTGATACTGTAATGTGAGCCAAACCAGGATGGCTCAAGCCATCCTCCACAAATGATGAAACTCTTACCAGCTGATCCACAGCCTCGTTTCCCACCAGAGCTTCTCCCACGAACAGAACAAGATCTGGGGTGTTAACCGCAATAAGCTTAGCCAGGGCTGTCATCAAGGGAGCGTTGTCTTGCATCCGGCCTGCTGTGTCCACCAAAACCACATTGAAACCTTGGTTGCGGGCTGGCAAAAAAGAAAGGTGGGGCATTCTTGGTCAAAGGAATAAGGCTGGGGGGTCAGAATGGTTTATATTCTATAGCCTCCTCAGAAGTGGACAGCAAAGACAGGAGAAGGGAGAAGACATTTCCGGCATCAACACGATTGTGGTGGGGCCAGAAATGTAATCCGTGTACCATGGGGTAAGCCTTACCATATAAAATGGCCTCCATGGCAATGCCAGCTGCATCCTTCCCGTATCCTTTCTCATAAAGCTGCACCATGGTGCGGCCATTGTGGCTTTCTGGTGGATGCAGAGTATTCAGGCGGCGAGTATGAGTACGTAGTTGTTCCACAGCTCCGGCACGGAAGGTATCACAGGCAGCAATGAGGACACTATACCCGTTTTCAATCAGCCAGAAAGAAATCTGGAGGGTGGGCAGAAGAACTTGAGCTTGCTAACTCCTCCAAGCCCAAAATCCAATATATTGATACCTTAATATATCATTCTTAAGGACAGGTGAACCATCTTTCCCGCATTTTCCTCTGGAGTAAGGGGTCAAGAAAGTGAGCAACATTTACACCATGTTTATAGCAGAAGGCCTTTAGCAAAAAGAGGGCCTCCCATGTGTACATAAAATGACTCATTATGCCAGTCTTACGTTGGACTATTAAAGACTTTAGTAGATCCAAGCTTCCAGTTGCTTACAAACACAAGAGGGAAGCCTCTATGATACCTTGGCCAAGTTGGTTGACTTCCCAACTCCATTGACGCCACAAAAAGTGATAACGTAAGGTCGGCGGTGAACCTTGGCATCCATCACATCACGCAAGACGTCCACCCGGCGCTGAGGCTGGAGGATCTGCACCAGAGATTCTTGAAGAGCTTGCTTCACAGTTGAGGTCACCGCTGGAAAATTGAAAGCAAGCAATGTATTCCCTCATGATGTACTTCATTGGAAATCTCCCATACCCCGTAGCCAATAGGGAGAACAGATAGACAGTCTGGGACAAGATTAATCAAGGATACCAGCAAACAGTGTAACTGAATTATAGCCTAGTTACTCTTTTAAGTATGCCACATATGTAATGTTTCTGTGCAGGAATCTCCTTCCAATTCTCATCAAAACATACCAAAGACATTTGATGAGATATTCTTTTGGCCGATGATGCTTTGGACTTAACACCATCTCTTTCTAGTTGGGAATGGACTACAGCAACAGAAATCACTACAGTCTGGTATACTTGCAAAATGCTCTACTGGGCAAAGGGAGTTTTATAAGCTCTACTGTGATGTACGCTGTCTTTTCTGATGGATGACTGAACAATCTCTCTAAACTAGAAAAACCAAGCTATTTCGATAGAATGCATTCCACCATGAATGAGTGCATTTGGGTTCGTATCCAAGGATGGTCCCAACAGATGAGGTAAGTCTGCAATACAGGGAAAAGCGACTACTAGAAAGTTAGAAACACTTACTGGTGAAGGTACCCATCACTTTGCCTTCCAGTTTCTTTGCAACAGATTCACACAACTGCACTGCAATCTCCGCAGCGACATTCTTCGCTTTGGGAAAACAGAAGGCACGCTTGAGTTAAGAATGTTAACGTTTCTAGTTCGTATTATAGGACATCTGAGTCTTGCAACAACCGAGCTAAGATAGTGCTGCCTACAGACACTCTAGATTTAAAGCCAGCATCCCCCAGCTGAGCCCTCCAGCTTCTTCTGTAGTCAGGGAGTCACTTTAGGACACAGCAAGTCCTCACCATGCAAACCATCTAATGCTCCAAAGATGGAATTAAGCTATGAATATGAGGGGTGGGAAGGAAGTGCAGATGTCACTGATGATATTATGAGAAAAGGTTATTTTAAGGCTCCTTCATTTATTCAAGAAAAGACAAGGGACATCTTAACAATCATAACTACAAGGACTGCAGAAAGGGGATTTGAGGGCTGCAGGCTACTTGGCTCTGCTATAAATTCAAATCCTCCCGAACCCGACTGAAGTTTCAAGATCTACAGCTTCTATATATCCCCACAGCCTCTAAATATTTTTATATACCCAACAGATGTTGCTGCAGTGTACAGATCTAGACCAAGATCTGGACAGCCCTTGTCCAATCTCCGATATTCCTAGATTAGAAGATTGATCTTAACTGGAGGATCAATTCTGGAAGCATGGAAGGTCAAAGGCATTTGGGGTGTTGACTAAGTTATAAACCAATGAGAGTTTGTCCTGAAAATAGGATCAAGAAGGAAGATACGATACGAAATGCATTTTGTAAGAAATTTGGGGACTTGTAAGTTTTGAAGCTCGATTTTCCTGCTCCCTCTACCTTTCTTTCGTTTAACCTTCAAGAAAGAAAGCCATTACTTCTAAGCCCCAACTAACAACACGGCCAGCTTTTCTGACTCTGCTGGGGGAATAACTAGAATGTCTTGATGTAGCATCACTGTATGAAGTCCAAAACTGATCTCTTGCCAAAGGAATTCAGTCTTACCAATCAAATGATCTTTCATCTTCTCCAGCACAGGCTCCATATCCTCTCTTGACAAGCTTTTAGAACCCACAAGACCTTTCAGCATTCCAAACATGCCTCCGAGACCACTTTTCTTCTTGCTGGAGATAGGAAGGTGAGGTGAACATGGTGCAGGATGGAAAAAGCAGATCAAATAAAAGGATTTCCCTCAAGTTCCCCCTCTTCAGCGATGTGATCTTGTTTCGAAACATTCTTTCACAACATCTAAGTGAACTTTCAACCAACTGGCATGGGGTGAACAAAACATCCCAAGGCTGAAGAGTAAACGAGCCACAAAATATAGAATGGCAATTGCTTAGGTGCATGTTCCTTCATCAGGATTCTCAACTTGATCTACTCAAAATTGTTTTGAACTTCAGTTAGCTGTGCCCCAATCAACGTGGCCAATGATTTATGACAGTTGTAAAGCAGAATATCTGGAGAACGTCAGCTCAGCTTTTTGTAAGCTATCTTCAAACCCCACATTGCTCTCTTGAAATATATTCCCAAATCACAATACAAGAACAAAGTGACAGAATTGGGAAAGTGCTTATATGTGTGTGGGCAAGCAAAATCATTTACATACTAAGCATTTCTTAGCTATGGCTAGCATTTGATTTTTCTTTTGTTTATTGAAAAGGGAATTATGCTACAAGATGGGAAAAGGCACAGATATATGTAATGGTAGAGGAGACAAAGATTGGGAATTAAGATATATCAATAAAATGGCTCGCTTTTCTCCTTATCCAAATAGACCATAATTTCAAGGCCTTAGCATGCCCTGCAGCTTCTCCTTGTGGCAGTTAGTTCTTGTTCCAACTCCAAAGGGATTCTGTCTAAAGCAGGACAATTGCAACCAAAGACTGAGTTCACACATTACTCTAAGCCAGGGGTGTCAAACTGCCGGCCCACGGGCCGGATGCATCATAGCGAAACCGTGCCCACCCCATTGCCGGCAACGGGGGGAAAAAGTCACGATACGTCATATGACATTGCGAGTTTGACACCCCTGCTCTAAGCCAATCTTTCCCAACCTTGGTAAATTGAAGGTGAGTGGACTTCATCTCCCAGAATTCACAGTAATGGTTATGCTAGTGGAATTTTGGGAGTTGGAAGTCCATATCGCTGAAAATGGTCCAGATTAGGAAACCCTGCTGCAAGCCATAAGCTCATTAAAAGTTACAATCCATAAAACGAAGGAAACTTCGCAATGCTTTGAGGAACACATGAAGAGGCCCAGAGATTTTACCTCGTGTTTGAAGAGTTTGGAACCACTTTGTCCTCTTCTCCTGGATCCTCTTCACTATCGTACTCGAGATCAAGAAGACGGCCAGGCTCACGACTTCCGTCTACCAACAGCTGAATCGGAAACAGTTTGTCTTAGCCCCCTCTGAGCAAACAGCACTTATTGTGGCTTAATTAATAAACAGTGGTTAAACCAGAATTCAGTTAATCTTTTACTTTTGCAAATGTGGCTCGGCCATTGATTAGAACACGACATTTGCTTTAGTGGGGACGTCTGCACCAATGTCTCATGATATAGAAGCCCTGATCATCTGTGCTGAAAGGTTTCAGTGTGAGAAAAATCACTTTAGCTCTGGAGAACCCCAGTCAAGGCTCTAGAGCAGGGGTAGTCAACCTTGGCTCTTTTATGACTCGTGGACTTCAACTCCCAGAATTCCTGAGCCAGCTGTGTTGGCTCAGGAATTCTGGAGTTGAAGTCCACGAGTCATAAAAGAGCCAAGGTTGACTACCCCTGCTCTAGACAAAGGCCACCACAAGGACAGGAAAGTGGAGATCTTACCATTTCTGCATCATAATTCTCCATGGGACAAGCCTCTGTGTTCCCATTAGTAGTGGAGTTACTATAATCAAGTACTTTGGCATTAGAGTTCCCTGTATGCCACACACGGGGCTTCTTCCCCTTGTCCTTCTGAGCATCTGGCTTTGGAGACTTGCTAAGGAAGGAAAAAAAATCTTTTAGATCTTCATACTGAGCTAAACAGAATTCCTGTTCTGAATTACAATACGTGCAACGTGGTTGGACCGTAGAGAGAAGGGGCTGGAAATACAAGTTGCCCCCCCGTTCCATTTAATAAAATAATAAACTGCTAGTGACATTGCAATAGGGTGTGAGATTTTGGCAATCTTGCTTGAGAAGCTGGCACCCGCAATCTGCTACACTGAACAAGGTATAGGCTGTGTTCTATGTTATACTTTCCCCTCCCATCTAGTTAAAATGGTTGGTCTTGCTGAGGCAGTTTGCATTGCTACAGAACTTCTTCTGGCAATTCCTCGCTGAAAGAGGTTTTTGTGCACGTGTTGTACCTGCACAGAAGCCTCTTCCAGTGTTTCACTTCATTTATGCCTGCTGTGCAAAGAAACATCAAAAAAAAGACCCTTCACTTGAAGCATCTCTTGAAATGAAACATTCCTCGCAAGCTTTGTGGAGATATATAGTACTTATCCTGGCTGACTGCAGTAAAGAGTAATGTTAGATCAGGGGTAGTCAACCTTGGCTCTTTTATGACTCGTGGACTTCAACTCCCAGAATTCCTGAGCCAGCTAAGCTGGCTCAGGAATTCTGGGAATTGAAGTCCACGAGTCATAAAAGAGCCAAGGTTTGGCTACCCCTGTGTTAAGATGTTTGGAGGGCATCTCCAACCATCCAAGTTCTGATGGATGGAGAAACAAGAGACAGCCAACTCGTCCAGTTATTGGCCTCGCTTACTTGGATTTCTCTCCACCCTTCATCCGTTTCTTGAAGAATTCTTCCCGGTTCTTCTTCAGAATCTCATCCTTACTCAGTTCTTCCTTTTCCCCAATTATCAGAGGAGGGTCCAGCTTAACTGCAGGAGCGGTTTTGGGAGCCGCGGCCATTTCATTTCCTTGAGCTGAAATAACAAAACTGTGATTGTCCCATATAAGGTGGTGAAGCAGGGACCGGCAGAATTCAAGCGGAATCTACCGTCAACTTACAAGGTACAGCAAACCCAAATCCCGTCGTCCTTCAGTGAGTCCTTAACTCACCAATACCAGCTCACCTTCTTTTTTGGAGCTTTTGTTTTTCTTATTCTTTGTTTTTTCTTTTGATTTCTCTCCCCGAGTTTCTATCATAGACTTCACTGTTTTTTGGGACTTTGCTGATTGTTCAAAAGTCTTCATAGCAGGGGGAGGTCGGATTTTACTGCTCTCCTCTGCTTCCCTGATCAGGAAAAGAGGAAAAATCATGTCATATTAGGAATACCATGGGGGGGGGGGGGAAACCCCACATTTTTTTCTGCATGGAATCTGCTTCCCTCCATTCCTCCTATTGGGCACTTCAAAATATGATTTCCCAGACTGTTGAGATCTACTTTCCTTGGGGAAGTTCTAACAAGAGTCCAGGGGCATGAAGAAGAAAGGCATTACATTATTACCATAAACTGCCTTTCCTAAAGCATTACTGTATTGTTTTCATTGTCAGCGGTGTTCATTTTGGTGCTTAGATTTTTAGAGGTGTGTACAGTGTCTCTAGTGTAGAGAGTACAGTAAAGGCAGATATGATGACAAACCGTTTAGAAACCCTGGCCATGATCTGCTGTAAAGGAGAAATATATAACAGTAGCACTTAGATTTATATACCACTTCACAGTGCTTTACAGCCCTCTCTAAGCAGTTTACAGAACCGGCATCTTGCCCCCAACAATCTGGGTCCTCGTTTTACCAACCTTGGAAGGACGGAAGGCTGAGTCTACCTTGAACTAGTCATGATCAAACTCCTGGCTGTGGGCAGAGTAAGCCTGCAATACTGTATTCTAACCACTGTGTCATCACGGCTCTTAGTATATCCATTACTCTGGACCAAGTCCTACTTCCCAGCACTCTCAGTGGCCAGGAACCTAAGAAGTTGATGAACATCAAGCTGCTTATCTCAGTATTGCCTGCCATAAATCTGAGTACAGTTAAACATGCTAGCCTATAGCACTTAACACTACAGCGCTTAAACTTATATACCACTTCAGGTGCTTTACAGCCCTCTCTAGACAGTTTACAGAGTTAAACATTCTAGCTTATAGCTGGGAACTCTGCAGCTCTGGAAGGGGTGGGTTTTTTGAACACAGATTTAATTTGGTAGCCAGGACAAAGCAAATGGCTCCAAAATCCCTGAAATACACTACAGCACAGTGCATCATAACAACTGGACCCTAAGGATCACCCACAGCCCTCCCTTTTGCCCAGCTGTCACTGATTCCCATTGCAGACGATCAGCTGCAAAAGATAAAGCAACTGGGATAAGTCAACGCAAGAAGAACATGTGTGACCACAAAAGGGATGATTCTATTACCGTTGGAGACGTAAAAAGTCCTCCTTAAAATCAAAGGTGCCATTAAGGATCCCAAGAGTTCCCTTCTGTTGAAACTCATTTCGATATTTATCTCTAAACTCCTTATGGACATCATCTATCAACTTATCCACGTAGGTTAAAGTCAAGATTTTCTGAAATCCAACCTGCAAAAGAGAAGTTGTGTTGTAAGAAAAAAACCGAGAAGTTGTGTTGTAAGAAAAAAAACGATATAGTTAAGAGGGCTTATATCTAAGAATATGCAAATTCTTTTGCCTTAATACTCCACAGTATGAATCAGCTGCTTCCATTCATTGTTTCTTTTCATCCAAATAGATGAAATGATTAAAATAGAAAAGAACATAATAATAATAATGATGATGATGATGATGTTGGAAGGGACCTTGGAGGTCATCTAATACAACCCCCTGCTCAGGCAGGAAACCCTATACTATTTCAGACAAATGGCTGTCCAGTCTCTTCTTAAAAACTTCCAGTGTTGGAGCATTCACCGCTTCTGGAGGCAGGTTGTTCCACTGGTTAATTGTTCTCACTGTCAGGAAGTTTCACCTTAGTTCTAGGTTGCTTCTCTCGATTAGTTTCCATCCGTTGCTTCTTGTCCTGCATTCATGGGCCTTGGAAAATAGCTTGACTCCCTCTTCTTTGGGGCAGCCCCTGAGATATTGGAATACTGCTATCATGTCCCTCATCGTCCTTCTCTTCATTAAACTAGACATACCCAATTCCAGCAGCCTTTCCTTATATGCTTTGGCCTCCAGTCCCCTGATCAGCTTTGTTGCTCTTCTCTGTACTCTTTCTAGAGTCTCAACATCTTTTTTACATTGTGGTGACTGCTGTAATGACACACTGGGTTCACTCACTCACTCCATAAAACATGAGATGCATTTGGTTCTATAGTTTATCAGACAAAGCAGGATTAAACATCCCATAGCAATGGTGTGCTTTGTGAACCACAACACAATAGGATTACAACACTGGGAAGGAAGAATATGTTGCTGAACTGTGACTCATAGTGTTCTTCATCGCTAACTACACGACAAGGTGTTGTAATTCAATAACTTCTAGAAAGGCCACACAATTGTCATCTGTTCTACGTCTCAAGAACTAGACAACAGTGAAACTTTTAAGTTGCAGTTTAGTATTCATTTGCTGCTGAAGCCTTTTTCGTTCAACACAAAAGAGCATACGCACCACAAATACAAGCTCAAATTGATTGTCCAGCTTATATTTAAGTGTAAGGGCTTCATGGTTGAAAGAGTTGCTGCCACCTCGCTCCTGAAAAGAAGAAAATTAACATAATGAAACGCAAGATCTACAGGTCAAATGTGGCTTTTGCAATTGTTCTTGGCAGTGGGGACTAGGGTGCAGACCAACATGAAAGAGGCAATCTCCAATGTACAGGTGGTTGAACAAGCACGCCAATTCTATTTCTTTTTCCCAAGACCTTAATTTCCGAGATATACAATCTGTGCCCGCTAAAAGTATACTGTAATTGTAATTCATTCAACAATATGAGGCCAACAGGAAGGTTTTAAAGCTTTTGTAGTCCCCGTTCAGCAGCCTGCATGCACCCAGAGGTTATTGATTCACTGCCCAACTCAAGGTCCCTGCAGCCAATGTATGATGGGAAAAACAAACAATAAACCTTTACAAAAGACTCAATTTATGTTAAACCTAGACAATGTATAACTGTAAAATACAAAATAGAAAATGGAGAGCAAACACAATGCAAATAACTAAAAGGGAATTCAGCTCAACTGGACCCTATCTCTGATCCTATGTGGAACCTGGGGAATCTAGTTAAAACCAATTTATGTTATTCGCAGTAAATCTTACTAATTAGCTCGACTGCAACTTGCCTGATAGCTCTGATTTCTTAAAATTAATATTTTTTTGACAGAAGTCAGATTCATATGATGAGGTACAGAATGTTCTCACTTGAGCATTTCTTGCTATACAACTTCAGGTGGCACTACGGTATGATTGTCGAGAACCATTGAAAGCCATCTAACAGCTACTTCCAGACGATCCTTTTCTGCTCTGGGCCCTGTGCTCCATGCTCTCCCCCTTGAGATCTAGGATCTGCTTAACTTATGGGGTGCCTTGTTAAGAACTCATGAACATGATTGTTGGAAAAATGCCTCTTTTAGTGAATATAATTTTATATTGTTGGAATGTTTATTGCTACTTTTCTTGTCAACTCTTTTTAAGAAGACATAGCATAGGAAGTGGAACCTGAGTATGATAAATAAATTTTAAAAAACAAACTTAAGAAGGATTGTTCCAGATTCTGGAAATCCAAAATCAATGAAAACCTCTTATAATAAATTACTTTATCTTGGACCAGCATGAAATGCTTGAATATACCAATTCATTAAGATCATGTCTTCTGAACAAGCAAATGCAAAGTTGAAAAAGACCATCTGGAGATTACTAAATATCACTTAAAGCCTGTTGGCGAGGGACCTGGGAAAGCATAGCAGTCCCATCGTACATGGTACAATCTGACTCATCAGCATAGACTTTGAAACCATCGGTTAAAGGAAAACTTTTAGATGTAAATGGATAATAATGCCAAAAAACTCCTAAAGACTTTAGAACCATCTGGTACTCAAGTAATGATTGGGGGAGGGGGGACGAAAAGGTCTTCTGAGTAACTTACTCAAAAAGTAGTCTTTGAATGCAGGAATATATTGGAAGAAGGGAAAACCTATGGTCCAAAAAATCTAGTTCAAATAATCTGACTGAAAGTTATATAGTGAAGTTCATGAAACATGTTATATCATGTGTTGTTTCAATTTGATTTATGCACTAAGAATAAATTGAAAATTGCCAGTTACTTATAGCTTAAAGTAACATGTCAGTTGCACATTTAATCTCTCAGATACAGTAAGAGTGAAGCTTGGAGTTAACTAATTATTAAAGGCCAAGAAGAATGACAATGAGATGATAAGTCATGCAGTTGAACACTTAACCCCCTCCCCACCCAAAAAATCCCTGCTAGTTTATTGTCAGATGAAAGAATAGAACCATATTACAGAAAGAAAGAACCATACTAAAAGAATCTAATCCCTTTGTAACATTTGTTGTAGGCTCAATGACAGAGCAGTATGCTGAGTAACTTTGCCTGTCCCAAATAAACTTCTAGGAGATCAAAATGCCCCAATTATAAGAAGATGCAAGAATTGGCCTGCTCGAAATATTGATCAATAGGCATGCAAATTAATGGGAAGATCCAGTTCATCCAGGCTGTGTTCTTAACTATTAGTCAAACACAATTATATTAAGCATACTGGGTGTTATGTTGCAACTGCAGCATAGAAAAAGACACTACAGAATGACGCCAGAGACAGAGCAGAAGAAACAAGTTGTCATAATTTCTTTTTCCTTTTCACATTATTTCTTGATCTTTTACGTTTTTCCAACTGTAAACCATAATAGTGAAGAGCAGGACACTGCCTTGATAGAGCACATTTCATTTGTACAGAGATTTCCTATTCCTTAAATAGTAATAATGTCTTACAAGGGAAGTGGAAGGGAATAAATAATGTATTTATTGTACAATACTTGTATAGCTATATCATTACGCAAGAGTCATGAATTAACCCTATTATTTCAATTACACCCTAGCATCGAGCCCTTAAGGACTTCTAAAAGATCAAACAGACGGAAAATTTGATTGACGGGATATCTGGGAGGTGGAGGATTAAAGAGAATGGGGGAGCCGGAAGTTCCAAAAAGGGGCTTAAATCAATAATCAAATAAGATAAAAGTTCCCTTTAATTGATCGACCTCCCTCTCTCTCCCTCCCTCCCTCGGCAGTTTGGCTATTGCCCCCTTCTAAATTCTTCCCGTGATCACCTGGTGGTCTCCCATCGCAGGATTAACTAGGGAAGGCCAGATCGTCTGGGTCTCCCCCTCCCCCACGTCGTCGCCCCGCATGGGTGAAATATGCGACCCCCCCCACGAAGACCACGCGTGCAAACGGGTCCGGGGCCCCGAGAAGCAGTGTGTGTGTGTGGGGGGGGCTCTTACCTGGAGGAGAACAGACCGGATCAGCGCGTTCACGGGCGCCGTGCAGGCCGCCGCGGGGCCGCGCACGCCTTGGAAGCACCAGAGGACGAGCCCCCCCTTGCTGAAGATGGTGAAAAAGTCGAGCATGGCGGGATCGGGGGCGCCGGGCCCTGACCCGGGGGGGAAGGGGGGAAACCGGGGAGCGACGGGACCGAAAACGCCGGGAAACCAGCCCGACTTCCTTACCCACGTCAGATTATTCTCTAAGTACTACTCACATCCGCCGGAAGCCTCTTGAAGCCCCTGAACTCTGATTGGATCGCGTTCTCGGAAGAGGAGGGGCTTATGCGGTTCATAGAGATAGAAAGCGAAGAGTTGCTTCCGACGTCTTGTGGCCTTTATCACTTATTCCTCTTTTGTTTGCAACGGACGGGATTCACGAGGGGTGAGTGAAAAATCCTACGTTTTGTAAATCGAGACACAGGATGTTTACTCCAGGAAGGAAAGAAGCTCAAGGTATGCCGGGCTTCCTTCTTGAATTATAGAGATAGAAATAATAGAGAGAGGAAAAAAGACTGATAGGTTGGAAAAGGAAACTTGGGGGGACCTTTGGACACGACAGCCTTAAAGTGGCCTCCACCGTGGAGGAAGAGGCGGGGCTAATAGTGAGATGGAAGGCAAAGAAGATCGGATTGGGCTATTCTCCCGAGACGTAGCGAGTGGGGCGGGGCTTAGAGAGGCCCTGGAAACGTCAGAGCGGGGAGCGACGTGGAATGGGCCGCTCGAGGGCGGGGTGGCGAGGTGGCCGCCGATTGGCCCTTGATCGGGGCGGATGAAGGGGCGGTGGTTTTAAAGGTAGCTTTTTTTCCTCTGACGTCAGAGAGGCGCCGTGCTCTCCTGTCAAGAGGAGCTGAGCGCGCCATGCTCCGCCGAGGGAGCCCGCTGGCCGGTCTGGCGGCGCGGCGGCGGCTCTTCGCCAACCCGGAGGAGCCCCGGCGGCCGCTTCGGCTCAGCAGCGTCCGGGGCGGGGATTTCTTCCGAGGTGAGCCCGCGGCGGAGGGAAAGACGACCCTTTCCTCCGCCAGGGACCGCCCTGGAGCCTGTCCTACCTCTCCGGGGTGTTGTTCTGAGGGCCACCGAGAAGAAAATCGGGGTATTCGTTGAATGGCGCTGGCTGGTGGGGTCATCGCAGCCTGGGGATCTTTGGTGGGGCAGCTGAGCCCCCAGGCTTGGCTCTGTCGGGCTTTCCGGGCGCCGCTTCTTTGGAGACGGGGATGCTCTTCTGGTTCCCCCCCCCCCATTAAAGAAAGCTCATCTTCGGTTATCCTATTTCAGGGGTCTTCAAAGTTGGCCCTTTTATGACTTGTGGACTTCAACTCCCAGAATTCCTCAGCTCGTGCTAAGATGTCAATCCCCTCCACCTCCCCACCCTTCATCCAGCGGGGGGGGCGTTGAGGGTGCAGGGGTGCTCCCCCTTTCGTGCTCACCTCCCTGTTGTCCCTCCTCACTCTCAACCTTCATGGTGATTTTCCTACTACCCCCCCACCATCTTTCAACACCGATCCTTTGGTGTGTTCTTTCGTCTGCGCCCATACGGATGCAGGTCGCCTCCCCCTCTCTGCTTCTCCTCCAGCGGGGGGTTGTTGGGGGCGTGGGGGTATTTTCTCTTNCTATAAAAACAGCTACCCCACTGATGGCTAGTCACCCTGACGAAGCCGGCAGGAGGCCGGCGAAAGCTAGGTGTTTTAATGTTTTAATAGCAATAAATTTTTGTAACTTTTTAATCTCCTGGTGGTCTCACTGCTTGTGACCCTTTGAACATGAATTTACCCAGGAGTCATCCTCCAATTTTTAGAATTTTAAAGGACATATATATATATATATATATATATTCTTTTAATGACCCTCTAATCCCCTTTATTGGGGTGGAGTTGGGGCAACTGAATGGAACTGAGCGTTTACTGGCTGGATGCCCTTCCTGATGCCAATGTGGAGTTCACAGCAGATATTTTCTTTTTTGTGCCCAGATAGAGAAACATTTGTCACTGCCTAGGATTGAACTCTCAGTCTCCTGAATTGTGAGGCGAGTGTCTTCCTTTCTAGGCTGCTCTGACTGACTGATTATGTGCTGTCAAATAAGTAAGCCTCAACTTATGCAAGACTATAAGGATGTTAGTGACTGTTAGAATTCACAAAACACTGCATAACATGGCTGTCCTGGCTTAATTTTCTCCCTTTTTCAGAATTTAAGAAGCTGACCAATTTCCAGAACCTCAAAAGTGGCTTTAATTCCTTCCTTCCGGCAAGAGATCTCCCTCCTGAACAGTGCGATGTGGTGATTGTTGGCGGTGGGATAATAGGCTGGTCCATTGCCTACTGGCTGAAGGCAAAAGAATCACGCAGAAATGCCATTCAAGTATTGGTCATTGAGAGAGACAATACAGTGAGTTCTTATCTCAGCTTCGCTTAAACAAAAGAAACGGGAGATTGAGTGCTATCAAACGATGCAGTACTGTATTCAGGTTTATTGCTAAAGTTTTATTATTGGAAAGTAATCAGAGCAGAACTTTAGTGGTTGTTGAAAAAAAAATCCCTTTAGGATCAGCCAGCCTGGCCAGTTGGAGAAATTTGAAGAGTTGTAGCTCAATCAAAAGGAGGTTCTACACTTTGGTTGTGAGTTCCAGGATGCATTTGTGAGACCCTGGCATCAGTGTTCAGTTTAACCTAGTGGGTTATCTTGGATCTGATATAATAATAATAATTTTTATTTTGCGGTCACAGACCAAAATGCAAGTGCAACAGAAGAAAACACAAGAAAAATATGATCACAAACAATTAAGCACCAGAAGCCTTGGCTAAAGGGAATTACTGTACAACGTTCTCTAATAATTACAGCTCTTAAAAGAAATTTAGAAACCAGAGAAGTAATATAGGAGGAGCCATCCCCTAGACAATATAAGACCAAATTACTAACATTAGAACCAGAGGGATCAATTCCAAGGAGAGACAATAATTTAATTCTGCATGTGTATACATAGGGCAGTATGATAAGACATGCTCCACAGTTTCAACTTCAGCCCTATCATGGATCTGATATTATTTCTCAGCTTGTTATGTTAAGTGTTGTAAGTATACAGTTGGGAAAGACTTTTATCGGAAAAAGATAAGATAAAAATGTAATATAGTATGTAAGGGGTAAAGTGCCACTTGATTAATTGGAATAAGTAATTCATTAAGTTGCAAAACAGCAATATGTGCAAATTCGGTATTTTGTCCTACCAATGTTATTCCTCGTCTTTTTGCTACTATTTGTATGACTGAAATACATTGGAAGAGAAGATTTAAATATAGCTAAGTAATTCCTCACTATCTCTGTTGTTTTACTGCAGTATTCCAAAGCATCCACCGTTCTTTCTGTCGGAGGGATACGGCAACAATTTTCAGTGGAAGAAAATATCTGGATGAGCTCTTTCTCAGCAAACTTCTTGCGTTTAATCAATGTACGTTATGCTCTCTCCGGGTTTTTCAATAATTCAGGGACCTCACTTTTGGTTCTATGGTTACTATTTTGTTCTACTTGTCCCTGCCTTCCCACCTCGTCTCCCCATTGCATCTCCTGGTGGAGCATGCAGGTAATCTTAAAAGAGGAAAATGAGAGAAGGTATTAGGTAGTTCCTTGGATATCAAGAATAATATGACTGAAATTTTTAAGGAAGAAATAATAAATGTTGCATCCTATTAGATAGATTGCTAAGAGATAAGGCTTGGTTAGGTGTTACATGAATCCAACTCTGTATTAATATCTGCAAGCATTTCCATCACGTGTTTGTTAGCTATATTCACTGTTATCAAATGTGTGATGTGAACTTGTGAAATAGCCTTAGTCAATCCCTGATTTCTTTCCATCTCATGGGAAGCTCACCTTGGGCTCTCTTGTATGAATTTGTAGGCATTTTATCAATCATTGTGAAATAATCTAGATCAGGGGTGTCAAACTGCTGGCCTAGGGGCCAGATGCATCATACCCCAGCTCCGGCAAGGGGGAAAAAGTCACAATACGTCATGACACGTCATGTGATATGGCAAGTTTGACACCCCTGATCTGGATTCTCCAGAAAAGAGCTACACTTCTCTTTATTTATTTTTTTACAAAAAATGTTTATTTAAAACAAACATTTCTAAAGACATAATATCAGCAAATAGAAAGAGTTACTGAAGTTACATAAGTAATGCTCAGTATAACCATAAAATACAAACCATATCAAAGAACGTTCTTTAGATACGAAAAAGAAGTATAAATCTTTGAGGTTAGTGCCCTAAATACCTATTGTTATTTATAAATATTAAAAAAATAAAAGAAACCTATGAAAAGTAATATAGATAAGTATGTAATTTGTGATTTCGTCCCATTTTGAGCTCCAAGCAAAATATACAGTTTTTAAACATAAACTGTTATTTGCCTTGTGCGATATGTAGCGTGCATGATGGGAAGGCATGCTCTTACTAATTTTCACTCTATCCTTTTGTTTGTTCATTCCAGGATCATCTTGGTGTTGTTGGGGAACCACCCATAGATATTCAATTTAATCACTCAGGTTACCTGTTTCTGGCTTCAGAGAACGAAGCTGCTGTTTTGGAGGAGAATGTAAACATTCAAAGGTAGAGATCTTTTGAGTTTCTGGTTGAATGGAGAAAGGTGCTGACACAGATCATGGATAACAACTTCTTTTTACCACATTTTGCTGTAAAGCCACAGTGGTTGTGGTTGTGGCTACTTAGGTTACTCAGGTTACCTTTTTCATATTAATACACATTTTCTATTCATTTGCTGTAATCCAAGAAAAAGTGTTACTTAATAAGGCAGAACAAAGAAAAAAAACGGATAAGCAATAAAAAGGGAGAACAAAGAAATACAACACAAGAAATTATATCTGGAACCTCGTATATACACACCCATACACACAAACATAACTGTTGATTAAAGATGGTGGTACTTTGGTTTCAAATTCTCAGTGATACTTAGCATAGTGACCTGATTTATGTATGAAAGGCCCTAAAGAGGCTTGTTTGAGTTTGATTTGTGAGCTAAGTGATAGTTAAGCAAGCCATAATTCGTCCTCACCATTTATTATTTGACCAAATTCTAAAGGATAAGATTGGACTTAAATTCTCCACAAGTAGCATCTTTTTCAACCAAACCCATCTTTCTCCATGGGGAGAAAATGATTAGGAATGCAACAATGGGATATTAGGCATTATAAAATAATAGAAGCAGGAAACCAGCATCTTGTGGGACAGATGTGACATGAGGAGACTCACATGAGTTCCTTGATTCTTGACCCACCAGACTGTAACAGTGAACCTGTTGATCCCCCATAGTTTAATGAGATGACATGGTTGGCTTAACAAGTAGAATTGATGGACCTTTTGCCCAATTGTACATTTTGGAGACAAACCTTTTCTGTCTTGTGGATTTTCAGTAGAACTTTTTTTTTTTACTGATCTCATTGAGTAAACATTAATATTTTTAGTAGTCTTGAGTTCCTAAGGGTTGTAATGAATGTTATCTAATTTTTAATTTTATCCTTTCTTAGAAAGGAAGGAGTAGCTGTCTCTCTCTTCTCACCGGCACAATTGAAAAAGAAATTTCCGTGGATGAACACTGATGGCGTAGCTCTGGCTTCTTACGGTACCAGCTGCTAACTTTGTAGCTCTCCTAAAGCCAAATGATAGCATCACTATTCTGACTAAACAATTGAAGGCCAAAAACAACGATCCTGTTTTATAGGCTGAAATCACTTGGAATCCAAAATTGGAAAGCTGATTTTCTTTGCCTGTTTGCAGCTTGATCTTCAGTTTATCAGTTTCCAGTTCAATTGATCCGAGATCAAGCACGAGCATTCAAAACCTGCAGATAAGAACATTGGGGACAAGGATTTTTACTAAATTTGTCGATGAGTCATCAAAGGACTTTGAATTTGTTTTTTTATGTCATGCACCTAGCAAAAAAGATCAAAACCCACTTCTCAAACGATGCATGCTGCCGACCAAATTAATATTTGGTACCTCCTAATAACTCATAAGATTATCTCAAAAGTGATTATTGAGCAAAGCACAATGGGCTGGATTCATTCATGAATTACAAATTTCAGTGCTTGTGGTCAGTCTAATTCCAATCAGTTAAATTATGTTGCTGCTTAGAATTCTGGTGAAGTTGGCCTTAAGTCTAATTTGCTGTTAACGTTTAAATGCCAAGGCTTGTATTCCTAGCGTTTTTCTTGTATCCTCTCCTGACTTTTCCTTCAGGCTTGGAAAATGAGGGCTGGTTTGATCCATGGACTCTTCTCAATGCTTTCAAGAGGAAAGCCATCTCTATGGGCACGGTCCAGTATAATGGAGAAGTGACATGTAAGCATTTTTGTTTCTGCTTCCTGCTGTAGCCAACACATAGCTTTGTTGCCAACTAAAATGTGTTCTGGGGCACAGTACCTGGAACTGAATCGGTAAGAGCCTAATGCAGTGGTGGCGAACCTATGGCACGGGTGCCAGAGGCGGCACCCAGAGCCCTCTCTGTGGGCATGCGCACTGTCGCCCCAGTCCTAGGCCTTCAGCTGGGTTTTATAAAACCTTTTCGCTTTAGGCCTCTGCCACTATGTGCAAAAAAAAAAAGGTTCAATCAATCAGTCAATTTCAACTTCTCGCAGGAAAAGAAATCTTGCAAAGTTGGAATTGATTGATTGAAATTTTTAGTCCCACCCAGTCTGCTGTTACCACCGCAGCCACGCCCAGCCAATGGGCTACGGCCACCCAATGGGCCACACCCAGCCAATGGGCCACGCCCAACCAATGGGCCACACCCGCCCAGCACTCGACGATGCATAAGTGGGTTTTGGGTTGCAGTTTGGGCACTCAGTCTCTAAAAGGTTCGCCATCACTGGCCTAATGGTTTGAATCAAAACAGTATTCTCTATACTGGAGTCGTTACTGTGGAGGAAAAAAGAACTCTTCAGAATCAGTTTGGGGAGTTTTGCCCCATTTTACAACTTTTCTTGCCACAGTTGCGAAGTGAATCACTGCAGCTGTTAAGTTAGTAACACAATTGGGAAGTGTCTCTGGCTTCCCCATTGACTTAGCTTGTCAGAAGGTGATCACATGACCCCGGGACACTGCAGCCGTCATACATGCCAGTTACCAAGTGTCTGAATTTTGATCACATGACCAGGGGGCTCCACTTGTGAGCGTGAAAAGTGTTGTAAGTCTCTTTTTTCAGTCCTGTTGTAACTTAGAATGATCACTAAATGAACGGTTGTAAATTGAGGACTACCTATATTAGGAGTCCTTTATCCTCCTTGGCTCCATACTATCAGGCAGCATTTTATCAATGGGAGGGGGGGGAGAAGAGAAGAATTTCACACTTTCCATGATTCCAGGTATTAGGTAACATTTGAGCAGCTCTATGAAAGCATAATTATTCTGCGTCTTACCATAGAACAGTGATGACGAACCTTTTAGAGACTGAGTGCCCCAAAACCAGCCCCGCCCCTGCCCCCCCATCCATCCCGCCCTGCCCACCCACAGGGCCACTCACTGCCTCCACAGCCCGCTGATCGCCCAGGCGGCCCAGCAGCGCCATGGCCACGCCCTCCGCCCGTGCCCCACAGCATCAACCGTATGATGGGGCACGAGGGTGGAGTCTTGTTCCCACTGCCTGGCTGCCATGTCCTTGGCTGCGCTGCTTCACACGGGCCACGCTCGGGGGCGACTCTCCTCCGGGGGAGCTGCTGGTGAGGAGGGGGTTGCGGTGGGGCTGGGGCGATGGCGCACGTGCCCAAAGAGAGGGTTTTGAGTGCCGCCTCTAGCACACGTGCCATAGGTTCGCCACCACTGCCATAGAAGGTTTTTTTTTCCCAGCCTGGCACCATTATTGGAGTTTTGAATCTAAACATATCCGGGGATAATCAGCATGCAACAGATAACTAAAACTTGCTAAGGCACTTTGCCAAATTGCAGCCATTTAGTTAGAAAGGAGAGAAACTTGAAACTATCCTAAGACCCACATTTAGTGTTGGCACTATTATAATTTACCCTAATCTCCACCCCATCCTAAAAACTTTTTACTTAGGCAATTCAGTAGCATTGATTGATTTGAGAAAGTGTTATTCTTTTTTAACAAATAACATTTGTAAGAGGTGCATTTTAGGATTCAGATCATGCTATAAAACACCGATAGAATGGGTTGTATGTTTTAAATAAATGCAAGGAAGTCTTTTTTAAAGTCTTTATATTTCAGGAATGAATCAACGGCAGCTGCTTTTACCATCTCCTCCATCTCTTTCGCCTCTCCTACAGCTTTCAACTTGAGTTTTTATGAAACGAAGAATAACGATCAGTCTCTTAAAGCCTCGCGTATTAGATCTGTTAATGTGAGTCATTATTTTAAGGCTCGGTTGCGCCTCTCACAAATGACATAAAATCACGTGTTTTCTGCTCTCGTCTTGGGTGCTTACTTCATCAATGGCTCAGGGTAACAAGACGTAAAGCATTTTAAAAGGCAAGACTGGATATGCCTGGTGGACACTGGAACGAATCAGTAAGGGTAGTCCTTGATTTCCAGGCATTTGTTTAGTTTGAAGTTATAATGGCACTGAATAAAACTGGCCTATGCTGTTCTGTCCCAGCCTACGTGAGTCCTTGTTAAGCTCACAAGGAGAAACCCCTCTTCCAACAAGCAGGCTGGAACAGCAGGAAAAAACCAGTCCCCTTTTATTATTCACAGACCTGAGTCAGTGTCCAAGGCAAACAAAACACAGTTTACAGAAACTCGATTCCTCAACACCAACGGTTGCCTTCAGCAACCAGCACCTCCCACACCTTCCCTTTTATTATGCAGCCAAGGGGTGGCTTCCTAATGCCTTCTCCTTTGCCTTTGGAGCCGCCCCATTGCATTCCTCTGTCCAACTCGCTTCTCCTGCCTGCGCTTTCGTGCATACTGGATATCTTCCAGCTGTGATTCCTCACTGTCCAACTCAGGCTCCTAGCACAGCTGTGTCTCAGCCTGAGTGCGAGTAGAGGGGCAGGCTCCTCATCAGACTGTAAGTCTTGGAGCTCCTCAGAGCCTTCCTCTGACTCTGATGTCACTCCAGCCTCCTCCTCCTCCTCCTCCTCCTCCTCCTCCTCCGATTCCCCAGACTCAGCTGCCGGGTCCACTGGCTGGCGAGGAATCACAACATATGCCCGCTTTTCACTTATAACCATCGCAGCATCCCCACGACCACAATTTGGACGCTTGGCAACTGGTTCATATTTATGACGGTTTGCAGTGTCCCAGGGTCATGTGATCCCCTTTTGTGACCTTCTGACAAACATGGTCAATGGGGAAGTCAGATTCACTGAACAACGGGGTCACTAACTTAATAGATGCAGTGGTTCACTTAACGGCTGTGGCAAGAAAGGCTGTAAAATGGGGCAAAAAAACATTGTAAAATGGGGCAAAACTCCCCTAACGCCCGTCTGGCTTAGCAACAGAAAGGTTGGGCTCAATTGTGTTTGTAAGTCAAGGACTACCTGTCGTCTGTGTAGTGCTGCTGATAAAATTATAATTGAAGCGGCACCAACATTGGTTAAATTTGTACCATCATGGATTGACCGATTGACTTATGGAAATTGGAAGGCCACCCTGCTCATATTACCTTGGGCAACTTACAATCTTAAACCAGTGCATATACGTTTCCGTGTATGTATGTGTGCATGTAGATCGACAGCTAAAGCTACAGCTATTGACAAATGATACTAGAACCAGGGGTAGGCAACCTTGGCTCTTTTATGACTCGTAGACTTCAACTCCCAGAATTCCTGAGCCAGCCATGCTGAGGAGAAATGGAGAGGTTTCCAAGCTGAGCCATGCTGGCTCAGGGATTCTGGGAGTTGAAGTCCACGAGTCGTAAAAGAGCCAAGGTTGCCTACCCCTGGCCTAGAATAACAAACACTGGGGCCCGATGCCTGGAGGAAAAGCTAGGAAGTTCATCCAGGTGGGATAGTTTCTGGAGAGGGGTCCTTAAAGGCTCCTGAGATTTATTTTGAACTCTCTTGAGACGTGAAAGGGAGGAGGGAAGACCGCGAGGGAAGTCCAACACGAAGCGTCAGCTTTTTTATTAGTTGCTGAGCAAATGCTTCATCTGTTCTTCCCTCTTTGCTTTCTCATTCCTGTTGTGAGGGGTATCAGTTTGTTATTGGACCATTCTAACTGCTTAGTATAAACTTACCAAACTGCTCTTTGGTTGTCCTTAATCTTCTAGGTCCAGTTGCCCGAAAGTATTGAACGTGCCAAGATAGAGTGTGCTATGGTGGTAAATGCGGCAGGAGCCTGGTCAGGCCGAGTGGCCGAGATGGCTGGCATTGGGGCTCAGTCCGAAAACATCCTCTTGGGGGTCAGGTTACCAGTAGAACCAAAGAAAAGGTGAGGTTCAGTTCCATACCTGTACAGCGTGTATTTCTTTCACCCAAAGAGCAAAACTTGGTTTATTACATGGTTTGAACGGAGCTGTTGAGGTTTCTAAATTGGGGGTATTGTGTGAATCCAGCCATCCAATTACAGGTAGTCCTCAACTGGTGACCAAAATTTCTGTTGATAAGCGAGACATTTGTTAAGTGAGTTTTGTCCCCTCTTACGACCTTTCTGGCCTCCGTTGTTAAGGGAATCGCCGCAGTTGATAGGTTAGTAACACGGCTGTTAAGGCAATCTGGCCTCCCCGTTGACTTTGCTTGTCAGAAGGAAGCAAAAGGCGATCACATGACCTTGGGACACCGCCACCATTGTAAATACGAGTCAGTTGCCCAGCATCTGAATTTGGATCACATGATTACGGGGATGCTGCAAAGGTCATAACTCTGAAAAATGGCCCTAAGTCACTTTTTTTCAGGGCCGTTGTAATTTTGGTCACTAAATGAACTGTTGTAAGTGGAGGATTACCTGTATTGTTGCATGCCTTTGGCAGTATGTTGGGAGTTTAAGGATTGCAGTTTCTATCACATTTCTCAGCTGCTACTCGGGATACATTTTCAATTCCTTCTTTAGCTAAATAGCTTATCATCTTTGGCTTGCACTCCCCTAAATATGCTGTGGATCGTTCCTAAAATGGATGGCTTGCCTACAACTCATTTTACAGTACCTGCTGACCTTTGCATGCCTCTCTTTGGCAAGGTTTAATCCCCGGCCTTTGAAATTGAAAAGATCTAAAGATGCAATGCCAGGAAAATAGTCTCTGAGAGAAGAGCTAGCAGAAGGTTGCGATCAGCTGGATTAAACCGTATCAGAATAGACAAACGCAAAATTGTTGGTTCAAGGCAGCTTCATATATTAACAACAAGCCAAATGATACCCAGTGTCTTCCTTAGCACGTGAAACTAACAAGATACAAACTCCTGTATCTTGTGGTATTAATGAGCCGTGGTGGTGCAGTGGTTAGAATGCAGCATGGCAGGTTAATTCTGCCAGCTGCCAGCAGTTCGATTCTCACTGGCTCAAAGTTGTCTCAGCCTTCCATCCTTCCGAGGTTGATAAAATGAGGACCCAGATTGTTGGGGGTCAATAGGCTGACTCTGTAAACCGCTTAGGGAGGGCTGTAAAGCGCAGTGACGCGGTATCTAAGTCTAAGCGCTATTGCTATTACCTCTTTTACACCTATTTGTTTCTATTCTTGCTCTCCTTCTAGCTCATAAAGCAAATAGGTTGGTATGAAATATTGCAAAAGCATCTCTTTATCCCTTCCCTCCTAGGTATGTCTATGTCTGGCACTGCCCTGAGGGACCCGGCTTGGAGTGCCCGTTGCTCATTGACACCACCGGAGCGTATTTCCGAAGAGAAGGTTTGGGTGGCAACTATCTTGGAGGCTTAAGCCCAACAGAAGTGAGTTGATCAGGGCTTTGGGACAGTTTTCTGCCAGGTTGTAAGGATTCTGTGGAGCCAAAGTGACAGGTTTATCAGTTCTAGCAAGAAGCAAGACGTTCCTAAAGTCCTTCTGAAGTGCTCGGATTTCCACCCAGTGTCCCAATTGTATAATAAACAGTTTCATTGTGTTTGAGCAGGAATTTAAATCCAAGCTCAATCAATCAATCAGAATAATGTTGGGAGGGAGCTTGGAGGTCTTCCAGTCCAATCCCTTGCTTAAGCAGGAGACCCTATACCAGTGATGGCGAACCTTCTAGAGACTGAGTGCCCAAAAACCGGCCCCGCCAGTTAGGCTCCGGTGAGCCAAATCAACGGAGGGAATCCAGATTCGCTTAAAAACCATTAGCAAAAAAGATTGCAAAATTGGATGAGTCTTACTTGATGGCCACCTCGCTTAGCAACAGAAGTTCTGGTCCCAATTGTGGTTGTGAGTCGAGGACTATCTGGGCTTTTTGTTGGAGCCATAATGTCTGCATTTACTTTTCAGAAAGAAGAGCCAGATACTGAAAATTTGGAAGTAGACCATGAGTTTTTCCAGGAAAAGGTCTGGCCTAAGCTCGCCCACCGAGTGCCATGCTTTGAATCTCTGAAGGTAAGATATTGATTAAATAATGAGAAAAACCGAGAAGTTAATATCTTATCTTAAATTTCCTTACAACGGTTAACTCAAGCATACCGTAAGAGACATGATAAAGAGTCATTTCGTATCTTAGGACATTTTGAGCTGGGCTTCATATATCTTCTAGATCAGGGGTCTTCAACCTTGGCCCTTTTATGACTTGTGGACATCAACTCCCAGAATTCCTCAGCCAGGCACGTGTGAGGAATTCTGAGAGTTGACGTCCGTAAATCATAAAAGGGCCAAGGTTGAAGACCCCTGTTCTAGATTATCCAGCACAGCAGAAGGCTTATCTGCTGGTTATATCAATTTAAAGTCAAGATTCAAGAACCTGAATTCAGTGGTTCTTACTGGATCATCCAGACATCTCATTTCTTGGATTTCAGCGTTTGGAAACTGACCCTTCTTTTGTTATTCTTCTCCTCCATTTGTGTCTCCTATTTAAGCTTGCTTGCAGTTGGGAGCAGCTAGTTAGGATTGAATTCCTAACCTAAGTATTCTGTTGACGTGACTTGGATTAGCCCAGCCAACCAATTGCTTAAGAAACCAGCTCTCGGAACGTCATGTCATGTCCCTTTTTGTTTTAACTGTTTTGTCAATAAAATTTAAAAAAATAAATAAAAAAAAAAAAAGAAAAAAAAAAGAAACCAGCTCTCCCTGGGGGTTTTTTGGGGGGCAGGGTGGGGGGGGGATGTGGCTTTTATATTCTTTACCCTTCAGACTTGTCTCTAAATGCATTCTACATCATGTCCAGGGCTAACAGGAATTTGATCTCTATCTCTGGCAGGTAAAAGGTTCCTGGGCCGGTTACTATGACTACAATACGTTTGATCAGAATCCTGTGATTGGCAGGCACCCAGAAGTGTCAAACATCTTCTTTGCTTCGGGTTTCAGTGGACATGGGCTACAGCACGCTCCAGCAGTGGGACAAGCCATAGCTGAGCTCATTCTGGACTTCAAATATAAGTCCATAAACCTTGAGAGATTCTCCTTCGATAGGCTAATCAGAGACGAGAAGCTTCTTGAGAGAAACATAGTCTAAAGTCGTCCAAGTTGGGATCCATTTTAAGAGTGAGTTTTAGTTGTTTATTCTCCCCTTCTTTGCATCCTCAGGCCAAGTCATTATAGGCTCAGCTGGCAGCGCAAGGAAGTTGCTAGGACTGTGATACTGCACAGCTGCAGTTCATTTGAATGGGTCCATTTTGTGCAGAATAACTTGAAGAGTAACTGTTAGAACCCACCTCAATTTACATCTTAAGAAAACAGAACTCTTGGAAGGTCTCTTCCAACAGGAATCTTTATTAAGAGAAACGGATTGTAGGCATGCTAGACAGGATCTGAGGGATTCCCCCCCACCATTCAATGTTTTAAAGTGTTCCCAAGCAGCCCCCACCCCACAGTTCTTCCAGGCGATTCAATCCATCCGTCCGCTCCGTCGGCACGATCACTCGTTCTCTCTTTTCCCAGATCCCAGGCGTTGCATTTCCCCCCCTCCCAGGCATTGTATTCCCCCCCCCCTTTTCCCTCACTGCCGGCAAAGGGGAGAAATTCAGAGAGAGTAGGATGAAAGGCGATGGCCGCATTGTTATGGTTAGTACTCTCGAAGAGAATCAACAAGTGGTTACTTTGTAGTTAATGGAGGAAGTGAGAGTCATAAAGCCCCCATGCTTACCCTCCTCCCCTTCCGTAGTATGACAGAATCCAGAAGAGAGTAAGAATTGGTTTTATATCAGAGTAGGTAGATAGAAATGAAATATAATTGGATTCTGGCAGTAACTGAAGAGTTGTGTGCGTGGCTGCTGTGATGAAAGCACCCGGAACCTGAAACCAAAGAGGACACTTGTTGAGGACAGGGTTTTCCCCTCATCAGCTATACTTCTTTTGCTCTCCTTTGTCATTTGTCCTGTGCATTCGAGCTTAAATTTCTCTTTCGGCAGAGGAATTTTGAGAAAGAGGAAGGAGATGACAAAAGATCTGTTGTCCCTCTTCCTCCACTGTTTGGTCTGCTTAGGTCAGCTTTAGAGAAAGAGGAAGTGCAGTAGTTTGTTCTAGATCATTTGTAGGATTGTGGCTGAAAGGAGACAAAAGGAACAACTGAACTAGGCCACTTCTTAAATATCTCTCTCTTCTCCCTCCTTCAAGTCAAAATTTAGACCAAGAATAGGTTGTTCTGGACTGAAATAGAAGTTTACTGAGGATAAAGCTTTACTCGCAGCCATTAATCAGCTAGGTTCCTCTAGTCTAGAGCAGGAGTAGGCAACCTTGGCTCTTTTATGACTGGTGGACTTCAACTCCCAGAATTCCTGAGCCAGCATAGCTGGCTCAGGAATTCTGGGAGTTGAAGTCCACCAGTCATAAAAGAGCCAAGGTTGCCTACTCCTGCTCTAGACAGTTTTTCTTAAACCTGGAAATGTTAAGATGGGTGGACTTCAATTCCCAGAATTCTAAGAGCTGCAGTCTACCCATTTTATTAATTACCAGGTTTGAAAAACACTATTCTAGGAGCTCTCCCTTCCCTACTTTATCCCCAGAACCTGATATCCAGAAATATACCGAATCTATAGGAAATCTTAATTTGTTCTTCCAAATGAAAGTTACTCCTAAGAAATCTACTTCAATCGCCTTACACAAAGTACCTCATTTGATTTTTTTATGAAATTTTGGAGCAGGGCTACAATTGGGACATAAATACAGTGTGAGGTGCAGAGAAAGTACATCAGCATTCTCTTCCAACATATGTGGATCATGTACTGTAAAACATGTTGATTTTAGACATAGACTCTGGAACCTTAACTCTACAGAATAGAATATTGATCTACTGAGCTTAGAGCATCACAGTGCAAATAATTTTTAACAACGTTTACAGTGTGAGCCAATAAAACAAATTATTTCCAAATGTATATAAATTATTTCCAAATGTATGCAAAATATGATTCTTTTGCAATATTTATTGTATAAATAATATTTTGACATATTTAAATGATATAGTGGAAATCACAACCAAAGGGAATTGGGGTCGGTAACTTTTTGATACCTTTTCAAACTATTTTTTTTTATCATGTACTGAACTGATAAATACCTCCTGAAAAAAGACTCCCAGTTTTTTGTCTGAGGAAGATTCATCCCAAAATAATTAATCCTTTCCCTCTCTTACTGGCTGAGATAAGCTTACTGATCTCACAGAGATATTTTCTCTTTTCAAAGAGGTGCCAAAGGATCAAGGTTTAAGAAATTAATTTGCCTTCCTGCATAATAATAATAATAATAATAATAATAATAATAATAATAATAATAATAATAATAATAATAATAAAAAGTTGGAAGGGACCTTGGAGATCATCTAGTCCAACCCCCTGCTCAGGCAGGAAACCCTATACCATTTCAGACAAATGGCTGTCCAGTCTCTTCTTAAAAACTTCCAGTGTTGGAGCACCCACCGCTTCTGGAGGCAGGTTGTTCCACTGGTTAATTGTTCTAACTGTCAGGAAGTTTCTCCTCAGTTCTAGGTTGCTTCTCTCCTTCATTAGTTTCCATCTGTTGCTTCTTGTCCTGCCTTCAGGTGCTTTGGAGAATAGCTTGACTCCCTTTTCTTTGGGGCAGCCCCGGAGATATTGGAACACTGCTATCATGTCCCCATTAAGGCTCTTACTTCTTCCCGTTCATTCTGCAATCTTTGCATATACATAGAGGCACAGTGGAATTCTTGGAACAGAGAATTTGAACTATTCCTTTCTATCTTACAGTTTGTCACTGAGTATGTCCTCAACCTGCATACTCTTAGTTTCTTTTGCAGTACTTGGCATCATATAATTTTCGAGACTCTCTTCCATCTCCCATTTAAAAAAAAAAACACACATTCCCAGTTCTTGTGAGATTTCTTTGCCAAAAGTTCATTTTGGAAACATGTTCCATTAGCAAAGAAACTAAGACATCTTACTCGAGCTTAACTCCTGGATGACTGTTTTTCCGCTATATTGTAGAAATGGGTTGCCCCTGTTTTCCAACTGGCCAGTGCAGCCAACAACCCTGGAATTCTGAGGTAATACCATTCCAAACAATAACCAAGGCTGGCCCCTCTTAGCTTCTGAAATAGAAGCTAAATTCGAACACAATTAAGCATCAAGTCACTGTCAGCTCAGCCACCAAATATAGATGTTCTCCAGGACATGAACAAAATAAATAATTTGATATTTCCATAGTGTCTTGTGCACTACAAATCCATGGTTTTTTTTGCTTAGTGCATTACAGAGACCCAACCATTGAGATTGGTTAAACTGACCAAGTGCCCTCTGTGAAAACTGCCCATCCATCAGCCAGCTCAACAACTCCCACCATCCTGCTGTCAATGAAAATGGCTTTTGCAGGAGGCAACAATCTCCCAAATGGCAGTTGAGCATAAATTCCTCTTCCTTCCGAAGGATCCTAACTCCCTGCTCGGGAGCAATGCTGGTGTTTTGCGCTTCTGGGTCATCTGCTGAGAATTAAACCCCCTGGATGCAAACAATTCCGACGAATATGGAATCATCCAGTCATCCAGGTCATAGATGCTTTTTCACTAGGAATGAAAAAGTTGCCTCGTGGAAAAAAACACCATCCTTGGGAAAACCATTCAGACACTCCCTGCATCCAGCCCCCCCCCTACCCCCCCCCCCCCAAAATGGGTTTAATAGCGACCCAGGATCTTTTGTAAAGCCGAAACTGGCGAAGGGAGCGATCTCCTCCGCCTGGGCGCAGGTGGCGCCCCTTTTGCGCGACCCTGACATTAAACCCCGAGGTTGCCTCGGGTTGCAGCGCACCATTCGGGCAAAGCGGTTACAACCCGGGTACCAAAACAGGGGGCTGCCCGAATCTAGACCCGATCCAGCCCCGAGGGAACCGATCCCAGCTGAAGGCCGAGGCGCGGTTTAAGGAAAGGCGGGCGTTGCGCGAAGGCGGCCGGGCGAGCGCTGCCTCCTTTGCAGAGAGGATCGCCCGGCGAAGGCGGGGCAGAAAGGGCAGCGCTAAGGGCGGGGAGAAGGAAGGTCCCCGCTGGGCGGGCTGGGCGAGATCCTGCCCCCGGAATCCCTCGCGCAACTCTGGGCGCGCTGGGCGTGGAGAGGCGGCGTCGCGCCCTGGAAGGAGACGCCAAGGGGGAAGTAGGCCAGCGGCTCCGTTTCCTCGGAGGGGGGAGGATGGCTCGCCCGCCCTCCCGCTCGGGTCTTCGCGGCGGAAGAAAGGAGAGCGGGTCTCCAGCGGTAGCCCTGGTGCCGGGGAGCAGGTGGGTGAGGCTGCCCGCGGCGGCTCCGGGAGCCTCGGTGCCAGGTTTGCTTTGCGCGCCGCGCCGCGCCTTGCTCGGTTCCGGCTTGCCTGGTTCCGGGAAGCTTTTTATTTTTTTTTAGTCGAAAGTTTAATTAAAAGATAAATGAAGAAGAATGGAAAAGGAAAGTAGAAAAAGGGAGAAGGGGAGGGGAAAAAAAAAACCCCGTAAGAAAGAGAAACGGCTCCCGATCTTTTAAGTCGCAAACTTTTTAAACCACGTCTTCCCTCTTTAGGTTAATGATATTATATAGTTCCCTTCTCAAATTGACCCTTTTGGAATCAGCGGATCCAGAGATCGCCGGTTCATCTTTGTCCGTTTTCAGAAAGAGGTGCAAACAAAGTTTCCAATCTTTTATTTTAAAAAAAAATATGTCACTTAACTGTTTTTGGTCCCCAGTCGAACCAAGTCAATTTGGCCATTTCTGCAGATTCTTCCATTTTTATCCTCCCCTCCTCCATTTTCTCTAATGCAAAAAATCAACCTTCGAAATACGTTTTAGGTGCCTCTGCCTCTCTCTCTCTTTACAGGAGATCCGCTCCTGGAATCTGGTAAATGGGATAATCCTGTTTTGCTCTTTCCTGTTGAAGTTGAAAGTAGATGAAAAGACCCAGTGAGAGTGGAGCAGAGCAGAGCTGAGCTGAGTTCCAGTGGTGGCATGTGGGACCCGCGAGCTTCTCCTGCGGAAGGCAGGTGTGAATAATTCACAGTGGAAGACTTGCTGATGGATATGGCAGGTAAGATAGTGTCAGTGTGCGTGTGTGCGTTGAATGTTCTTCCCTTCACCTTAACTCCTCCTTTCACATACTCCCTTGGAGGAATTTGTAAAAGCAGCCAAGTTTTATGTTCCACTAAGAGAAACTATTTATCAGGGTTGTGCTGTTGATCAACTTTCAAGATGTGTTGGGCTGCAACTTACAATGGTCACAATGACTCTATTGTGGACATTGTGGGAATTGGAATCCGATTTATCTAGATAATACCAGAGTGAACTAGCTGAGCAATTCTTGGGCAATATCTAAACTTAAAAATGGTGACTGTGATTATGAAAGGAGCAGAAGGAAGGTTCAGGAAAACAATATTGAGAGACCGTTATCTAGCACCGTGGCTCTCAACCTTTTCTTCCCCAAGGACCTCCTTTTAAATACCTTTTGTGAGAAGCTCCTCTTCTTACCTTTAGCTCTCTCTAGTTCAGTGTTTCTTAAGCGTGGAAACTTGAAGAGTTGTGGACTTCACCTCCCAGAATTCTCAGGGGTGAAGTCCACACATCTTCAAGCTTCACACTTGAGAAACATTACTTTAGTTCAGTGGTTCTCAACCTTTTCTTCACCACGGACGCCCTTTAAATACCCTTGGTGGCCACAGAACATGGCCGTGGACCCCAAAGACTTAAATCAAGATTTAAATCGTAACATTTCTTCCAGCTTTCCTGGATCCCCTGTGAGCCCCCCCCCCCAGGGATCCACAGACCATAGGTTGAGAAACCACTGATCTAGACCAGGGATAGGCAACCTTGGCTCTTTTATGACTTGTGGTCTTTAACTCCCAGAATTTCTGAGCCAGCATGGCTCAGCTTGGAAACTCTCTCTTTCCCCTCAGCATGGCTGGCTCAGGAATTCTGGGAGTTGAAGTCCACAAGTCATAAAAGGCCAAGTTTGAAGACGCCTGTCTTATACTGTTTGTGTTACAGCAGTGAATTCATTGGTAAACCGGTGACTATTGATAAGAATATATTCTTTTCCTTCTTAGTTTGTATTTTTAGCTTGTCCGTTGAAACATTTTAATAAGTTTCGTTTTTAAGGTTAAAGGTTGTTTTGTTACAAAAAAAAAACCCCTTGTAAAAATAAAAAGATGGTAGCTTTGTTTAAAGCTTCAGGAGCTGGCTTCCTCAAAACCCACGTATTTCTGATTTGCGCAGGCTGGTTCAAGGCGTTGCTGCAGAAACCCAGGAAGAGGCCAGACGCCTCAAATGGGACCCCCGGGTGTTCTCCTTCCTCAACTTCCCCTCCGTCGCAGAAAAGTCCTGCTTCGCTCCCTCGTAGCTTGACCGGCAGCCCCAAACTGGGGCTCTCCATCTCCCGGATTGTAAGCAGTTCCGACAGTGCCCGATGGAGCAAGTTGTACGACGTCTGCATTTGCCACAGCGAGGGCGACCTTGAGTTTGTGGAAGAGCTGGTGGCCTACTTGGAGAACCAGCCCGAACATTTCCGCTGCTTTCTTCAGCTGCGGGACTCTGCTCCGGGTGGGGCTGTTATGACAGAGCTGTGCAACGCCGTCCAGAACAGCCACTGTTGGGTGCTTCTGATCACCCCCAACTTCCTGAAGGATCCTTGGTGTTGCTACCAGATGCACCACGCCTTGACCGAGGCACCCATGGCGAATGGCCGCACCATCCCTGTGCTGAAGGATATAGACCGCACGGACTACCCCCGGGAACTCCGGTGTATTTACTACATCAGCGTGGTGCTCCAGGAGAACAGTTTCCGACAAATCAAAGAGACGATACTGCGTTGTAAGTGAGAAACCAGATTGAGAGGTGTCTTTAGAGCAGGGGTAGTCAACCTTGGCTCTTTTATGACTCGTGGACTTCAATTCCCAGAATTCCTGAGCCAGCTAAGCTGGGTCAGGAATTCTGGGAGTTGAAGTCCACAAATCATAAAAGAGCCAAGGTTGACTACCCCTGCTTTAGAGCAAGGGTGGGCAGTTCATTTTCCCAAGGGGCCACATGAGAAATTGGGACTGCTGGGGAGGGCCAAACCAATAGGGCTGTGAAGGCGCACAGGTATGCATGGAAATCGAAGAAAGCAAAATATAGGTAGTTCTCAACTCACAACAGTTCATTTACTGACCATTTGAAGTTACAATGGCACTGAAAAAAGGGACTCACGGCCATTTTTCACACAACCGTTGCAGCATCCCACGTTTGCGTGATCAAAATTCAGATGCTTGTCCAATGGCTCACATTTATGACGGTTGCAGTGTCCCGGGATCACGTGATCCCCTTTGGCGAACTTCTGACAAGCAAAGTCAACGGGGAAGCCATATCCACTTTATAGCCATGTCACTAACTTAATAACTGCAGCGATTCGCTTAGCAACTGTGGCAATGGGGCAAAACTCACTTAACAAATGTCTCACTTAGCAACAAAAATTTGGGGCTCAGTTGCGGCCGTATGTCGAGGACTGCCTGTAAAAGCAATCCACGTGGGCTGGACCGGGACAGCCAAAGGGCTAGATGTGGCATTGGGTGGGGGGACATAAAATGCCCAGGTCTGTTTTAGAGGGTGGTACAGACGATTCAAGTTTTGAATAGCATGCCAAGCCATATCAATGGGCAGCTGTTTACTGTTTGGGGGCTCCTGCCCCTTGCGGTGTTCTAGCTAGGTTTATGGTATTATTGAAGCTTCTGGCAATATTTACTTATTAATGAAATTGATATGCTGTGGCCTCACTCTGCAAAGCAATTCTAGGCAGCTTACACTTAAAATCATAAATGTTAAAATAATAAAACAGGTACAAAAATAAGAAACCAAAGACAAGAGTGGTGGCATCTTCCCAATATGTCCACCAGCCACCTCCAGCATAGAATATATTCTAATCTACGGGTAGTACATCTAAAGCCCTGAGTTGGGTCTAAGGAAGATGCTGTACATGCTTGTCTCTGAGTAAGGTCCGTGAATTGTAGAACTTCCTTCTTCTAGGGCATAGAATTAAACGGTGAATTTTCTTTCCTCAGTTTCAAAACAGGGTTGTGTAAGGCCCCCGTTCATAAATACCGAATCGCTTTTCTCGGTACAAAACATCATTTTGTTAATATCTTTATTTTTTATCAATTTTAAGACTGCCTAACTCTGGGCAACTTACAAATAATAAAAAAAACAAAACAAAAATGCATATAAAAAGAAAAACACAGCTCGCAAGAACATTAATAAGATTTACAAGAGACTGTAATGGCAGAGTTTTGACCTGTTTGGGAAAACTGAAATTTGGAGAAATGCTGTCAGTCACGAAGGGATTGGGAAGATGGGTTCGCATCTTAGATAAAAAAAACAAAACAGATTAGTGCTGTGCTTGGTTTTGGTTGAGCAAATTGTGCCAACCCAGCTGTAATTTATTAAATAAATAGCAGCTGAAAGAACCATGGCTTATTTTAATTAGTGAGCCCCTTCATTAGATTCAAATCTCCTAACAGCTTTCTTGTTTCCTTTAGATCTCCTGGACCTTTGTCAAAACCCAAGAAGCAAAGACTAATTGCGCGTTTGGATAAAAAAATGATTGTTGGTTACAGGAAATGTATGGTCAAAGAAAGTATTTCGGAACATGGGACTTGGAAAAGAAGCCTTTATGGTGAAGTTATCTTCTCCCATTGAGATTGACACGATTTGCCGCTCAAAGGGCAGATTCCATTTGAGGCTGAGATTTAAATCTCTGACTGATCAGCTTTATTTTGGAGATGCATGATGCTTCAATCATCCTGTTCACGCTTGGAGATAGATCCAGTCAAGAAACAAGCACTGCAGGGATTCCAGGAATGCAACTATTATGGAAGACAGTTAAAATCCTTCCAAAATCTTCACTGTCCCTTTTTTAAGGACACAAGAAGATTAAGGTCAAGGCTGGACTGTTTTGAGTTTCAAATTTTTTATTTTTATTTTCCCGGAACTGAGGAACCATTTTGCCTCTCTCTCCTTCTCAAGGCCAGAGCCAAATTCCATTGTACTAACAATTCTGATGATATTTGGTGGACAGCAGAACACTAAATTGTAAGCAGGAGATGCAAGTGGCTTTGTGTTCACAAGTCAGCCAGCGATGTCCTTTTCTGTAATGCAGGGGTAGGCAACCTTGGCTCTTTTATGACTCGTGGACTTCAACTCCCAGAATTCCTGAGCCACATGGCTCAGCTTAGAAGTCTCTCCCTTCCCCTCAGCATGGCTGGCTCAGGAATTCTGGGAGTTGAAGTCCACGAGTCATAAAAGAGCCAAGGGTGACTACCCCTGCGTAATGTCTCCTTTCCTTTCCTTCCCATCTAGTTTAACATTTCTCTGCATTCCTAGGCTGTGGCTTTCTTCTTTTAGTTACATTCAGCTGGTTTCCAGTTTTCTCCACCCAGAGTCTCCCTACCCTTTTTTTTGCTGCTAGCTTCTTTAGTATAGATCAGGGATAGGCAACTTTGGCTCTTTTATGGCTCGTGGACTTCAACTCCCAGAATTCCTGAGCCAGCTTGGCTCAGCTTAGAAGCCTCTCCCTTCCCCTCAGCATGGCTGGCTCAGGAATTCTGGGAGTTGAAGTCCACGAGCCATAAAAGAGCCAAGGTTGCCTACCCCTAGTATAAATAGACCTTGACTTATAACCATTTGTTTAGCGACTGTTCAAAGTTACAGCTTCTTTGAAAAAGTGACTTAAATGGCCAGTCCTTGCAGTTATGACCATTGTAGCATCCTCATAGTCATGCTTATGGTGACATAAGCAAAATTCAGACGCTCGGTAACCGGCATGTATTTACAAGGATTGTGGCATCCCAAGGTCATGTGATCGCCATTTGTGACCTTCCCAGCAGGCTTCCAAAATCCGTGGGGGTAGGGGAAGGAGATGGATTCATTTAAGGATCGCATGATCCAGTTAAGAACTGCAATGATTTGGCCCCCCCAAAAAAGGTCATACAATTGGGCGTGACTGACATAATAACCACCTTGCTTAGCAATGGAAATTATAGTCCCAATTGTGGCCCTTAAGTGGAGGACAATCTGTATGAAGTTCTTCCTGAACATCAGGCACAGTGAATTCTAGACCAGGGGTAGGCAACCTGGGCTCTTTTATGACTCGTGGACTTCAACTCCCAGAATTCCTGAGCCAGCCATGCTGACGAGAAATGAAGAGGTTTCCATGCTGAGCCATGCCGGCTCAGGAATTCTGGGAGTTGAAGTCCACGAGTCATAAAAGAGCCGAGGTTGCCTACCCATTCTAGACCTTTGAGCATCCTTATATTGGATGGCTGAAGGCTACACAGAAGGTTCCTGCAATATTTTATACATATGTGTCCGAATTACATCGAAATACAGGTAGTCCTTGACTTAAAACACTTCATTTAGTACCGTTCAAATTTACAACGTCACTGGAAAAAGTTGACATGACCGTTTTGCACACTTACAACCATTGCAGCAACCCCATGATCATGGGATCAAAATTCAGATGCTTGGCAACTGGTTCGTATTTTATGACTGTTGCAGTGTCCCGGGGTCCTGTGATCCCCTTTTGCGACTTTCTGACAAGCAAAGTCAATGGGGAGACCAGATTCACTCAACAACTGTGTTACTGATTTAACAACTGTTAAATGATTCACTTAACAACTGAGACAAGATAGGTTGTAAAATGGGGCGAAACTCATTTAACAAATGTCTCGCTTAGCAACATAAATTTTGGGCTCAATTGTGGTTGTAATTGTATTATAGCTTTAATAAAATGGCAGTTTTATCATGTTGAAAAAAAAACCAAAAACAGTATAATATTGCTTTCAGTTTGTAACCATGATTGGCTTTACCTTTTCATGGCAGTACACAATTATCAATTTGAGAGAATTCAGATCCCACCATATACAGCCCAGTGAGCTGCCTGTCGAGTGACAAGGTTGCTGTTCTGTTTGAGATTTTGTTTCCACATCTGTATGATTTACAGAAAATGTATGTGGCTAAATTTGCATATTGTGCTAAACTGAAATACTTGTTAGTTTTGATTTAGAGGTGTGAACCCAGCCTCTTTTGGTTCTCTGCAAAGCCTGCTAACTGTGTAGTTTATTCAACAAAGATGAACTAACCTCTGGTTTGAAAAATTCAGTCTGTGTTTTTATGGTGGGGGTTTAATTTAATCCTGTGTCATCCAGTGTTAGTAGTACCTTGAACTGTTACTGAAAATACAATATTAGCCAATGATCTGTTGAAGGAAAAGTCTTTATCATGGTTCAGTCCAAGCCTGGAATAAACAACATGGTGACTGCTTTAGAAAGAAGATTGCAGTTTATTGAAGAGGAGAGCCAGACAGGAAGATGGCTCTGGAAGAAAAGAGAGAGAGCACATGTAGGGAGTGGGTTTTTATACCCTCTGGAGCCTTTTGTTTGGAGTTGTTCCTGTGGCATGAAATTTGACCTGAATCTGAGTGTGCCCTTTGGCATCTATGGGTTAATCCTATTATGTCCTGTCATAGAGTTTGGGTGGGATATGTAGATTTTAAGTGTCTTTGTCTTCTTAATCTTCTAGCTTCAACCTTCCTGAATGGTTTACATCTGCATTTGTACAGAGCTGGTTTCTGCTTGGGGGAGGGAAACTTGGGGCTATTAAGAAAAACTGGGCATGCTTTTCTGCCTCTTTAAGATCCTTTGAGGAAATATATTTTACTGCCCTTTTAATATTTCCTTCTCTGGGGGGGCTGACTTCTCACAGATCCTTCTAGGAACGGTTTGTGTAATCTATATAAATAAAAATGTAAATGTTCGTTTGTTCAAAATCTTAAATCTCCGAAAGTTCTTCACCGATTGCTTTGAAATTTT